CCACCAATTATGTATTATAGTATAAATATGAATAATGCTTGCTTAAAAATGAGTAAAAGGTACAGATTTCTAAACTATTCAGTCCAAATGTTTGCTTAATTTTTTTCAAAAGTGAGCTCCAAATAGTTGTGGAGATGCAGACAGACCCAAAGAAAGTGGACATTTTGAGTATTCTGATAGGCCCCTTTAAACTGAAGATTTGCCTTAAATTGATTTTTAGCCATTAAAAAAAACAATTACTTTAAATTTCATTCACTGACCTGCAATTATGGCAAGCGAACAAGGATTTGCCAAGGACATTCACTAAAAACTAGTCTTTTTTAGTCTATTGACAATCACGTTTTCAGCTAGTACAGTTGAGGACAGGTTACTGCATATAAAGCATCTAGGGTTGCCAGGTCTGCTTCCAAAAAATAGCGGACAAGACGGGGGGGGTGGGGGTGTTAAGTAGTAAAAAAATAAAAAAAAATGTTTACAATTAAATTATATATTTTCTTACAAACATTTTAACACACCATTTTAGGTCAGTCGACACAAGCTACAATACATTTTAAAAATGTGAACTGTACATAATTTTATAATATATTTTTATTTTAATATCATCATTAATTTTTTCAGAGAATCGAGTTCAATGGATATTCGATCTTTGTCTCATTCTAACTTAATGAAAAAAAAAGACAATCCTTATTCTCTTAGACTGTACAGCTTTAGATTATGTACCATTTCATCATAAAGCTTTTGAATAAAAAAAAATGTCTACTATTTTGTGAAAAAAAATAGTGAACATTATGTGAAAAAAGTGGACTGTCCGTTCAAATAGTGGACACCCGGCAACCCTAATTTCCATCTATAAATATATCAGAATGGACTTTGTAAACCTCAGGAAGAATCAGAATTCTATGGGTACTGAGGAGATTCATACGCATCATTGCAGTGCATCAGAGTGGACAGAATGACAGAAGAATACTGCAGAAAAAAATCAGTCTTTCTAATGCTGATAAAAGTTTCATATACAGGGAGGCCCAAGTACATGTTTTTACAGCTTTTCACTCAAATTTTTGTCACTGAAATTTAAACAGAGTTCCTTCTCACCCCACCCCCACCCATTAGTCCTTCTTTCTAGTGGACTATGTTTCATTTGCCTGTTCAGATATCTGTTGACATTAGGATATGAGTGCACTAAGAACCACAGATTAGTTCTGTCTTATTTTTTCCACATTCAGAAATATCACATTTTCTGACCTCAAGGATGACATAAAAGCACAAAATACTCTATTTTGCTAGGGGTGAGTTGCAGCTAGTCCCCCCCCCCAATTCAGGTTCTTATAGCCTCCAGGCATTGATCAAGTACCTAAGCAGCATCATTTGCTTAGTGTTTCATTTATTTAACTCTGGGTAGCTTACAAGGTTAAAAAAATAAAACAAAATGGTGTCTGTGTATGTATGTATCCACACACACAAACACCCTCTGTGTGTGTGTGTGTGTGTGTGTGTGTGTGTGTGTGTGTGTGTGAATGTATGTATGTGTATACACATATATACATATTAGTGGTGGGTTGCTATTGGTTCACCCTGTTTCAGGCAAACCGGTAGCAGCAGTGGCGGGAGGCCCCACCCACCCGCCTGGATGTTATCAAAAACATTCTGCGCATGCGCAGAAGCTTCTGAGCATGCATAGAAATGGTGCACGTGCAAGCGAGCAAACCAGTAGCAAAGGTAAGTGAAACCCACCACTGATACACATATCTAGATCGGGACTCCCTACACATGGTCACTCAAGCACTCATTACTTCCCGTCTGGACTACTGCAATGGGGCTCCCCTGGGGGTGCACCCGGAGGCTCCAGTTGGTCCAGAATGCAGCCGCGCGGGGGATTATGGGAGCGACGGGGCGCTCCCATGTGATACCTCTCCTGCGCGAGCTGCACTGGCTTCTTGTGGTCTTCAGGGTGCGCTTCAAGGTGTTGGTGACCACCTTTAAAGCACTCCATGGCTTAGGGCCGGGGTATTTATGAGACCGCCTTCTGCCGCCAATAGCCTCCCACCGGCCAGTACGCTCCCACAGAGAGGGACTCCTCAGGGTGCCGTCGGCTAGACAATGTCGGCTGGCGACCCCCAGGGGGAGAGTCTTCTCTGTGGCGGCACCTGCCCTCTGGAACGACCTGCCCCCAGAGATACACACGATACCAGACCTCCGGACTTTTTGTCGGGCCCTGAAAACACATCTTTTTCACCTAGCCGGGCTGGCTTGATCCCATCCCTTCAATTTTAATTTGTAATTGGTTTTAACCCGGGTTGTTTTAATTGGATAGCCAAATTATTTAATGTTTTTAAATTGCTTTTAAATTTTATATGTTATGTTTTACCATGGCTGTTCACCGCTCTGAGTCCTGTTGGAGAAGGGCGGTATACAAATTAAATAAATAAAATAAAATAAATATATGTACATAATAGTAGGTAGGATCTGCTATTGGTCCACCAACTTCCTCCAGTGTGATACTTCCCCATTGGGGTCTCAAGCCAGGTCTTCAGGCCCTTACAGAAGGTCAGGAGGGTAAGAGCAGATTTCACCCACAGGGGCAAGATGTTCCAAAGGGCAGGACTCAGTTTGATATCTTCAACAGACTGATGAAGCTAAAGCTCATTATATCACTCAGTATAGATGATATAGGCCAGTCTGACTAGAGAGACCTGAGGCATTCCTCACAATGGATCTAGGCATGTACTTTTCTTCCCTATAACACAAGCTGGTACTGCCCACAGAGAAAGAATAACAACTGCAAATCATTTTCCTCCATCCCAATTTCCAGAGTCAGTCCAGTCCAGCAAGATATATATATATCCCCATATTGGCATTGGAGTTGAGGCTATTCCCACATTCAAAATCCAGAAGGGCACATTTCCAATATCCCCCTCCATATCTAACCAGGTTTTGGCTCTGGAGATCAGGCTTTGGAGCCAAGAAAGTGGCTGGAATTTTATATTATTCTTTTGGACTTTGGTTTTGCTGGTTGGCTTGGGCCTGTGAGGAAACTTTCACCATTGGAGATAGTTGACAGGATAAGATCTATCTCTGTACCATCTGTCCCTTGGTTCCTGGTTTTTGCATAGTTTTTTAAAAAATAATTTGCATAATCTTAAATTTTTAATTATATTACTTTAGCATTTTAACATTTGTAAGCTGTCCAGAATTGCCTTATCGGGGAGATGGGTGGCATACAAATTTTAAAAATAAAATAAATAAATAATAAAATATGTGGCTCAAATGTATATTATATTCTATCTTCAAAGAGAAATTTTATTAAAAGATCTATTGTTGGTATTGACATTAAAGAAATTTATAAAGATGCTTTGGTCTACTCATGTATTTTTGCAGGCACTGGTCTACTCATGTATTTTTGCAGGCACTGATCTACTCATGTATTGTTGCAGGCACTGGTCTACTCATGTATTGTTGCAGGCACTGGTCTACTCATGTATTTTTGCAGGCACTGGTCTACTCATGTATTTTTGCAAGCACCGGTCTACTCATTTGTTTTCTTTTACCACTGATCAGCTGTAGGATGGCCCTTTGAAGCCCCGCGGCAAGAGTTTAAACAGTTTTTTCCCCCTCAGCTGGGACTCAAGAGGCAGCAATAGATTTGGGGATCGGGCCAAATAAAAGGTAAGAATAACGCGGGGGGGTGGGTGGGCGCGAGGGATGGGTGGGTGGGCAGGGGGGGCAGAACCGGTTCGGTGACATCATATCATCACCGCTACCGGCTCGGGAGAACCGGGCTGAACCGGGAGGAACCCACCACTGATGTAATCCCCATTTAGCGATTCAGTTGGGATAGGAAACTTTGTCACCAAGTGGAAAATCATGTGACTACAGCAGACATATAATCTTACTTCCCCTTCTATTGTTAAGCAAAGTGATACAGATGCTAAAGGGGGAAAAATAACATGTTTGTGACTGAGAATTTTACTGCTGGCTTCTCCATTAATTCTGCTTGTAGCAAGCTAGTTGCAAAGTGCCTAACTGGCATTCATATGACTGTAGGATGCTTAAATGTGAGGATTGGTTGCAGAACTATATTTTTACACTGCTGTAATTTCAAGCAGTATACACACAAACCTATACAACCAGGAAAACATATACCCAGGAAGAGCTTTTCTGGAAAAATAAAGAGGGAAGACTCAGTAGTATGGAATTTATCCAATCAGAAGACACAGGGATGAATGCCTTGGCAGGTATTGTCAGTGACTCAATCTTAAGGAGTCTGTTAAACCAGTTTAGAGTCAGCTGATATGTACAAAAGAAAATATGTACAAATGGTGCATACCGTACTCATCTATTTTAATTTAGCTTAGCAGATTGCATAACACACTTCTAATTTAAATTCAGCACTCAAAGCTGCCCTTAATTAAACTGTAATTGGTCAAATTTAATGAGGGGAGGGCTCAGTGCTGGCAGGACTTGTGGCTATGCATAGGTGTCTTTGTGGGTGTTGAGATTCCTAAGCAGCCAGATCCTGTGGTGTACTTATGAGGAACAGCTATCTGTAACACATGTGGGCAATCAACCTCTCTCTCTTTATCTGAAAAGATTCCAAGGAACTGAATAATCACACATCTCTTGGTCTTTGCTGTGGTCACTGTTTATCTTCAATTTACCATATTTCCCCTGGAGATCTGCTAACCCAAATCCCTTTAACAGTTAGCAGCTCAAAGGTTAACACAGAATTCTTTGACTACAGTGACCAATGTTCAAGATTGAAGCTACTATAGCTGAATGTGCTTCAGAAAAGATGCTTAAAAGACAGGCTAATGTCTCAACAACTGATACAAAGAAGTAGGATGCATACTTTCCCCTTAGTTAAATCTTATAATGTTTGGAAAATGGAGAAAAGTTATATAAATCAGGACTTCAGTTGGATATTTCCATGAATATTCTATATTGTTTAGAAATACAAAAATCTAGATTAAAAACTTTTGACTGAGGATGACCGAGAGTGATTATTAATCACTCTTTTTTCTCATTAGTTGTTCCTTGTTGTTCAAGTCTGGCCAAAACACAATGATATAACATTTGGGGAAAAAGATGCAGCCCAGAAGCCCAGCACCTGAAGCAAAGATGGAAAAGATCTCTACAGCCACCATGTATTTCCCTTTGGAGCTCAGGTATGCCGGGACAAAGGTCAACCAAACACTACAAAAGACTAACATGCTGAAGGTGATGAATTTGGCTTCATTGAAACTGTCAGGTAATTTCCTGGCAAGAAAAGCTGTGATGAAGCTGATAAGAGCCAGGAAACCCAGATAGCCAAGGACACAATAAAACATGGTCACAGAGCCTTCATTACATTGCAGGATAATTTCTTCAGTCACTGAGGTCATATCAACATCTGGGAATGGAGGGTTAATTGACAGCCAGAATATACAAATGCTGGCTTGGATCAGGGAGCAGCTAACAACAATGGAATTAGTTAATTTTTTCCCAATCCATTTTCTCATTCTGGATCCTGGTTTGGTGGCCATAAAAGCCAGAACCACTGTGATGGTTTTTGCCAAGACAGAAGAAACAGCCACTGAAAAGACTATGCCAAAAACAGTTTGTCGGAATAGACAGGTAAATCTTCCTGGTTGGCCAATGAAGAGCAGTGCCGAAAGGAAACAGAGCAGCAGAGCAATGAGGAGTGTATAGGTGAGGTCCCGGTTGTTGGCTATGACAATCGGAGTGTTGTGGTGCTTCATAAATACTCCAAACACAAGAACAGTGGACAAAGAAAAAGAATGTGCAAGGCAGGCTAAACTGATCCCTAATGGTTCTTCATAAGACAAGAAACTAATACTTTTGGGAATACAAAAATCATGTTTCTTGTTTGGATAGAATTTGTCTTTGCATCTAGAGCATTCATTTCTATCTGAAAAAAAAAAAGAATTGATATGTTATCCTCATATATGTTCCACATTTCTGCATTTGCATTATTGTTACAGTATATATTATTATCATACAGATAATTTATGATTACAAATGTGTAATCTTTATGATCTTTATAAAATATTATGAGTACTAATATTCCTGTTAAATATACTGCTCAAAAAAATAAAGGGAACACAAGCAGAAGTCCTCCAAGATCTGAATGAATGAAATAGCCTTATTAAATACTTTGTTCTTTACATACAGTAGTTTATACACTGCTCAAATAACTAAAGGGAACACAAAACTACTGTATGTAATGAACAAAGTATTTAATAAGGCTATTTTCATTCATTCAGATCTCGGCTGTCTTCTGCTTGTGTTCCCTTTATTTTTTTGAGGAGTGTATAATTGGCACACAAGTTTTATTTGTTTTATTTAATAGTATTTTATATTTATTTGACAAACATTTTTTATCATCTGTTTATCTGTCTATCTATTATCTTTCATTTATCTGTCATCTTTACAAATGAAATTGAAGAACTATGGTCCTGGTAAATCATGAAAAAAATTGATTTCTCTATGTGAACAGGGAATATAAATTTCATCTGATTGACTAAGACGTATAATATATTAATCATTATTGTATTCTCTGTATAAAATAAAGTAACTTGTGTTAAATAATATCTGTACATTTCATTTAAAACGGTTTTTCAGCTGAATAGTTATAAAGCAAAATGTCTCAAATTTGATATTGTATTTAGTTTTAGCTGGGAAAGCTACACATGCCCTGTGTTGGTAAACTAAGAAAAGAAGGTTTCTTTCTCTTCTTAATAAATGTTTGCAGAATCTTCACTTAATCAAATGGATGAGACTGGTGAATAGCTGTGGGTTTAATAGAATGTACATCTGGAGAATCATGAAAGGGAGTTTTGGCAACCCAAAACTTTCCAAGAACGACATAGAAAATTCCAACAGAGATAAACCCAAATTAAGGGACAATGCAGTCCTAAACTGGATGGAAGAGGGGGAAAGAAGTTCAGAGTAGCCACACCCAGTGGTGGGATTCTGCTGGTTCTAACTGGTTCAAGAGAACCGGTAGCTGCGGCTGCTGAAGGCTCTGCCCACCTGCCCAGACGTCATCACGTCCTTTTTTTATGCTCTGTGCATGTGCAGAAGGTCTTTTTTCTATGCTTTGCGCATGCGCATGCATATGCGTGGAGGTGGTTGTCACATTTGCAAACCGGTAGCTAAGATAAGTCAATACCACCCCTGGCCACAAGCTCTGATTGCCGGCTGAAAAGCCACATGGCCATGCTAGCTGGGAGAATGCTCTCTCCCCCCTGGCAGGGAACCTCATGGCCATGCAGTTCCCAGCCAGGGGGAGAGAGCACTCTCCTAGCTAGCATGGCCCGCTGGGAAGACACTTGTCCCACTGGTCAGGAGGCTGCTCCGCTGCCTGACCAGTGTCAGAAGAGGGGGAGGCAGAAAAGTTCAGCCAAGTCTTCTCCTTCTCAGCTCAATCAAACGTATTAAGTTCAGGATGGGGCTTCCGGCGGCCGCACACCCCATTGGCTGCCGGTGCTGGTGCTGCTCATGGCCAGACCCAGCCAGGAGGATGGCCTGCTGATGAGTTTCAGGCTGGTGTTGTCCTGACGTGTCCCGCCATTCTCCTGGCCTGTTGCTGCCATCACCGCCCTGTTCTTCAGGCTGGCTGAAGCTGCTCGGAAGGCAGCTGCCACAGCATGTCCTTGTTACTTAAAGGCAGCTTCCAAGGTAGGAAATCATCTCCTTCTCAGCCTGAAACACACAGAGAGCATGCACACATCTCACAGTACCGGGACTTTCTGTGCAGAGATGGTGCGAGGGCACACATCGTCTCCTCGCAGAAGATCCCAGTGTTATGAGGTGCATGTGCCTGTTTGCTTGAAGCCTAGAAGGAGGAGAGGACTTGGCTGAACTTTTCTGCCTCCATCTCTTCTGACTCTGGCCAGGCAGGTGAGCAGCCTCCTGACCAGTGAGGCAAGTATCCTCCCAGCAGAGCTGTGCTAGCTTCAGGCTGGTGCTATCCTGATGTGTCCCACCACGACCGCAGCTGCAGCCTTGTTCGCTGTTGAACTCACCAGCTCCGATGGTTGCAGCTCCGTGCCCCCCCCCCCCAGGTATGGCAAGCCCCAAATTGGGACTTGACAGCATGCTTTTCACTCCAAGCAGTGCTGGGGTGGGGTGGAGGAGCAGCCTTTCTTAACAAACTCAAAACTGAGTTGCAAGCCTGGGATCACTGCACGAGAGCTGGAAGTCCGGTACTCCAGCACACTCATCTCTGTTTCCCTCTATGAGGGAAAAAGCCTGTCCTCACAATCGCATGTCTGCAGCCAGAACTGGACTTGCAGCTTTTGTGTGGGGAACTCAGGCTTGCAGCAACAGTTTTGAACTTGTTAAGAAGAACTGCTCCTCCACCCCAGCCATGTATTTTCCAGTCTGGGCTGCTTGGAGTGAAAAGCATGCAATATGCTTCCACTCCCGGGATTCCCTGCATGAGCATTGGAAGAAAATTGGCCAAGCTCCCAATGCCAGAACCGGCAAGCTAGAAGAGAGATTTGCTGTCATGCTGGTAAGTACATATGGACTGAGTAGGCTTTTTGCTCCCCCCACCTCCCCATCATGATCCAGCGTGGCACGGAAAACGGGGCGTTTCCATGGGCCCTTCTCTTTTTTCCCCCCTAGCTTCCTTTTGCCAGTATTTGGCAGGCAGGCAATACTCTTTAGATAGGCTTTTATTTTCCCAGCCCAAGGGCAGAGGGGGGGATAGGAAATCGCCCTGTCTCTGCAGCATCGGTCATGTGACTGAGTGAGTGGGTGTAGCCACTCAGTAAGGTGCAGCCTCATCTTGCTGTGAGTGGTCAAGTTGGTCATGCCCACCCAGTCACATGAGCACCTAGCCACGCCCACTTAGCCACGCCCATAGAACCGGTTGTTAAATTATTTGAATCCCACCATTGGCCACACCCTAGATTCTTTCAAGATATATCTAGTAAGTTATCTCTTTATTATGGCAAGATTCTTTCCATTAGGTGTGTTGGGAAGCACCCAACCTTGCTGGGGGGAGAGACCAAGCACAGAGATACCCTGCTGTCACTGCATAATTGTAAAAGGGTTAGGTTGACAACCCTTCCATCCCAGTTCCTTAGAGTCTTATCTATTTTTTCCAGGAGTAGGTTGCCAGACTTGGTAGATTCTTATATTATAGGCAGAACATAATAAAGCGGTTAGCTTGAACAGTGAATGTGTGGGTGTGGTTATTTGTTCCAAATATTTATTCACTGTAAGTAAAAGATAGACAAAGTTACATGGGTGGCCACAGACCCTCACACAGGAGTGGCATGGTAGATGCTGTGCTACAGTGTTGGGATGGGATAGAGAATGAAATGAAGCACCTGGCAGAGATGGTGTTTCAGTTGTTTCAGTAAATTCAAAATATCCCAATGCCAGCAGCTCCAGTCTCCCCTACAATATAAGCAGTTTTGCAGCCAGTTTTGTAGTGGAGACATGGAGGCTTGCCAATAAGATTTAGAGGAGAACCAGACAAGATAAGCACCTTCATATCCCAATGTGATTTGTTTATGGGAACCCGAGTGGCAGAATTTCGAAAAGGCTGTTCAAGACTGTCCTGTATGCTGAGTTTGTTAACAAAGTCAATGGCTCAATGGGCATTACCAGTCATTGAAGGTAACAATCCAATCATGGATAATTATCAGAACTTTATGGATTGATTAGAGATATGATATAAGGCATGACAGCTAGTCATGCCTATCATATATTACCCAGCTCAGGCAGGGTAACCAAAGAGTCAAGCTGTATATAGCTGAATTCAAATTAATAGCACCTGATGTGGATTGGAATAAAGTAGCCTTAATTGTCCATTTTCAATAGGGTCTGGACATTTAAATCCAGACCAAACTTGTGAGGCAAGGAGTGCCTCAGAACTTGGGCTAGTTGTACAATCTTTGTGTGCACATGGACTCAAGTTTGGAAGACATACAATGGGAGCTTGGGTGGCCAAAGGAACCAAACCCAAGGTCTCGCTACACAGAATTTTCCCCTCTTGTTCTGGCCATGACAGAGGTGGGGGAAAGGGAGCACATGAAAATAAGGGTGACAAAGAGAAGGGCAGATGCCCAGAAGGGAAAGGCAGAAGGGATCATTCCAGAGGAAAATATGGCACTAAATGAGCTGCAACCTTCAGCTTCTGGGTTGCATTTACTGAGGGAAAGGAATTTTCTAATCATCTAGATGTTTCGTGGGACCCACCGCCTGGCACAACAGATTCCTCAGACTTGGGGTGAAAGATACTATTGAGCTTGCATTCCTCCCTCCTGTCCCGAGTTCCTGTGAGAACTCAGAAAATGAAGGTATCATGAAAGAAGGAGGGAGCTGTTGTGGGGAGGAGGATGATGTTGGGGAGCACCCAGCCTGGCAGGGAAAAGGGTTCAAGCACAAAGCTAACTCAGTGTCACTGCACAACCACAAAAGATCTGGGGCTAACCCAGAGGTGAAATGCTCTGGTTCGGACAGGATCAGGTGATCTGGTAGTGATTGTGGTCAGTGGTTCGGAGAACCGGTAGTGATGGCGGTGTGAGGCTCTGCCCATCCACCTGGGTATCATTATGTCCTCGTTTTAACCAGGAAGTAATGTGTTTTTTACCCTCTGTGCATTCGCAGAAGATTTTGTGCATGCACAGAGGGTCTGCGCATGCATGTGATGTGAGCGCAGGACCAATGCGCATGCGTGTGGCACATGCACTTCCAAACCGGTAAGGAAGGTAAGTAGATTTCATTCCTGGTTGCTTGGAATCCTATCTAATTGTTCCTAGGCGTGGGCAGCCAGACTGGAGAGATTCCATATTATAGGCAGAACATAATATGTTCTCACAGGGAGGGACTACTCAGGGTACCATCAGTCAAATCATGCCGACTCTCTGTGAGGGCTCCAGCCCTTTGGAATGAACTGCCACCGGAGATACGGAATATCCCTGATCTTCGTGCTTTCCGCCGTGCCCTCAAGACCCTGATGTTCCAACAGGCGGGGCTAAACATATGAACATGTGAATGATTTTTTAAATGTTATCTAATTCTGGGTTTTATTTAATTGACCAAACTAAGTAATAATTTTAATTAGCAATTTTATGAGGTTTGTGTGTCTATATTTTTCTTGACTGTACACCGCCTTGAGTCCTACGGGAGAAAGGCGGTATAGAAATATAATAAATAAATAAATAAATAATAAAATAGTTAGCTTGAATTATGCATGTGTGGGTCTGGTTGTTCATGCCTGACAGGTGTAAGCAAATAAAGGAATTGGATTTTGCTGGGCCATCTTTTGGCTTGGGCTGCAATTACAGTTAAAGTTAAAGATTGATAACTAAATCTGATAACATACATACATACGTACTGTATGATTGAAGTGAAGCATGTGTGAGAATAAATGGAATGCTTAACAAAAGGTTTTGCACAATCCAGGAAGTAAGGCAGATATGATTGATTATTAATATGAATAAATATATGGGGAATGTTTGTAATGACATTAAAGGTGTGTTCGTTCAGGATACAAATTTATTTATTTCAAGTCCAAGATAAATATTTTTTTTAAAATGATCATTTACAACACGCCAAATATAAAAAAAATTAAATTAAAAAATTAAAATTAAAACTTATACACAAACAGCAGAAGCAATTACCATAATAATGCAAGGAAGATACCATGAATATGAAATGTTTTAATTCTTCTTTTAATTTAAATGAGTTTCATTTTTAGGTTTAGAAATAAAAATCAAAATGAAACTATCTGGGAGAAGTTTGATCTTCTCAGAGAAAAATGAGAACCCGCTATCAGGAGAAATGAAGCAAGGAAAGAAAAAGGGGGCAGGGGGCGGGGGCTCATTGTAACATGCCTGTTAGCCTTGTAAAAAAAAAGCCAGAACATTTTAGATTCAAATACATAAAATGATGTAAAGAATTTTAAAGATCAACATTTAACTGAATCTAGAACTTATGTTGTTGGAATCAATGGATAGACAATTAGAAAAAATCCTGGTAGACTATATGTATATGTGTTCCAAAGGTGGGTTTCTGGAGAACTGGTCAAAATTTTGAGTGGTTTGGAGAACTGGTAAATACCACCTCTGACTGGTCCCGCCCCCATCTATTCTCTGCCTCCTGAGTCCCAGCTGATTGGGAGGAAATGGGGATTTTGCAGTATTCTTCTCCTGCCACACCCACCAAGCCACGCACACTAAGCCATGCCACACCCACCAAGCCACAGAACCGGTAGTAAACATTTTTGAAACCCACCACTGATGTGTTCCTAGTGTGATATTACTCTATGCAAAAAAACCCTCTAAAATACCTAAAATGGGAGAATGAATGGTGACGATGAAATGCCAAAATTTCCTTGTTTGATTAGAGAATGATCAACAACTCTATTTATTGGAGATTGGAAACACCTTATGGACTTTTTGCTGAAAAAAGAGATTCCCCCCCTCCTTTCTTTAGTACACACTATTTTTCTTTAGCTACTCTAACATCCAGATGATTTCTATTTTGTTAAAATTTCTTTAATAAAAGTTATAGATAATTCAGTGATTCAGACTAAAATGAAGAATCTCTTAGGTGAAATATTATAAAAGAGTCCAGGAAGGAGCAGAGAAGGACAATTATTGAGCTGTAACAGAAGAGAAAAACTCTGTGTCTATCTACCGAGAGTATCTGTGTCCAGATACTCTAATAGGTGTAACTCTATCAAGTGTAAGTACAATTATTCCTGGAATAAAAGAGCTGTAATAAGCTACATAAAAAAATATGGGAAAGATTCTTATCTAATACGGTGAAGTGAACGAATGACCCTACACTTCATCTTACCCAAAAGGCTGAAAGGTAATGTGAACAAATATGTTGCCTAAAGAAATTCCTTCATCTACTATCTAAAGTGACAGATCCTCAGATGGGCCTCTAAAAGATAAGAGCCTAATTCCAGGTGGATAAGAGGGTTAAGGGTAAAATAAGGAACCCATATTAGGAACTTTGAAAATTTGGATTGGATAACTTCTAACCTAGGAACATCCTTATAAGTACATATGTGGGCACACTATAGTGCAGAGCCAAGTACTTTACCCTTGAATAATTTGATGGCTTCTGGTGCCTAACTGCTATTGTGTTGATATTTATATTAAATGCTGCCAATCTTCCTTAGACACTTGAAATGCTTTCTGGAGAATATTAAAACATGAACGTGTGCAAACTTTTGTTTGTAGATGATGCCATGTTTTGGGCTAAAAAACCTAAGTTCTACTGAATTTTTGCTATCATGCAACAAGGAATGCAGATTTGAAAAGTTTGATAATACAAACTTTTGCAAGTTATCTATAAATGGCAAAAGACAAAGCAAATATATAATTGTGTTCCCCTTGATAGAATATTTACTAAAGAAAATAATATTGATGGTGAAAAGTCAAGATATATAAGTGTTGGGAGACACCAAGCTTGTTTTAAAAACAGCAAGGTTAAGGCTACTCAAATTACTAGAAAGATACTATTTCAAGAAGGCAGAAACTGGGGCAAAGAAACTATACTTCTTCCATTAGATATCACTGTTTTGAAGACGGGATCTGAAGCATGTTGGATGAAGAGTAAATGAAAATTATCTAGACCAATGGGTTCTCAACCTGTGTTCACAGGGGGTCCATGAAATTTTGAAAAATAATTATGGTTTAAATCTTGAGTTAAGTCTTGGGGGTCTGTGGCCATAGTCTGTAGTCACAAAAGATATGTAATGTGAAGAAAACCATTGGTCTAGACAATGTTATATATTTATGATAAACAAGAAAAAAGTGATATAAACATTGTTCAATGATGCATGTGTATAGTAATTACAGGGATGCTTCATAAATAATTGGATGATAGCTCTTAGGATGAATGGAGATCTGTTAATGTAATTTAGAATAGAATAACAGAGTAGAAGGGACCTTGGAGGTCTTCTATCCAACCCCTATTCAGGCAGGAAACCCTATACCATTTCACACAAAGGATTGTCCAATTTAGCCATCATCTTCACCATCATCATCATCATCATCATCATCATCATCATCATCATCATCGATAATTAAAGGTCAATTTATATTTGGCTCTTCTAGAGAGACTAAATGATTAATTAATAGATTTAGAAAACTTCCTCATTTTAGAGCGAACACCATGTTGAATTTAATCAACATGTAATTAATTGTATGGATTTTTTAAGAAAAAAAATGAGGAGTAGATGAATATCTCTTACCATTCTCAGTGGAAACCCTCCCTTCTGGACATTGGATGCAGTCATAACAGCAAAATGGCTCTCCCTCCTTCACTTTTTTGCTGAAACCAGGATAACAGCTCTTACTGCAGACAGAAACGGGTATCACCTGGTAATTAAAGACAAAACTTATATATCTGGAAGCTTTTGGTCTAGTGTCCACATTAAAAGGGACGTGTGGCTCAGTGGCTAAGACTCTGATCTTGTTGATCGAAAGGTCGGCAGTTCAGCGGTTCAAATCCCTAGTGCCGCGTAACGGGGTGAGCTTACTTGTCCCAGCTTCTGCCATCCTAGCAGTTTGAAAGCACGTAAAAAATGCAAGTAGAAAAATAGGGACCATCTTTGGTGGGAAGGTAACAGCATTCTGTGAGCCTTTACCATTTAGTCATGCCAGCCACATAACCATGGAGATGCTTCAGACAGAGCTGGCTCTTTGGCTTTGAAATGGAGATGAGCACTACCCCCTAGAATTGGGAATGACCAGCACATATGTGCAAGAGGAACCTTTATCTTTATCACATTTGAAATGATGCAAATATGTATGGGCATCTTTCCAGTGTAGGCGTAGAAATAATGGTTTGGAAAAGACTTTTATATTGCAAAAACAGCAATATAAAGCTCAGTTAAATATACTTGTATTTAGATTAAACAAATGCACTCATAAGTTCTTATTATATAATAATACTGTTATAATTTCATTTCATTACATTACATTACTATATTTTTATATAATGAAAACATGATGCCTCACTAACTTTCACCTACAAAAGTTAATGGTCAATTTTACACATAATGTGATATAGGTCTAGAAGTTGCTTATATGGAACTAACTTTATGTAACAATTTCCTTTTGTCCAATATGATAAAATTAGAGAAAGCCTATTGATTCAGAAACACGGACAATAATTAAAACCTACCTGGTTAAACCAGCTGTGCCATGTTATCATCTCATCATTGATGGTTAATATTTTATCCGGAGGAGCTGAATGGTCCACATTTCCAACTTTCACATGAAGAAATGAATTGTTCGGGAAAGCTATCATGTTGATAATATCAAATCCAGCTGCTACAATCCCATTCTGATCAAAGGAGACCTGTTCCCCAGCAGTGTTGTTGAAAGCAACACTTCTCAAAAAATATTGGAACTAAATTGAAAATAAAAATGCAAGAATTTGGGATTACAGACTCCATGGAGATAGAGAACTGAAATGCAGATATTTAGTCACATTTTACTTCTTTTTCATGGTATTGCAATTAAAGAAAAGATATAGTCAAGGGTATGAATTAAAATAATTTGTTTATTTAAAACAAGGCTAGTAGGATAGAGACCTTTCAAACATCAGGGCAGAGAATGTTCCAAAGGACAGGAACTGCCATGGAAAAGGCAAGCTTCCTAGCTTCCAAAAGATGGCAATATTTAGGGGAAGGAACTAGGAGTGTCCCCACCCTATGTGACCTGGTAGGATGAATAGATGTCCTCAGGGAAAGCGGCTCTGCAGATAACCTGACCCTGTACCATATTGGGCTTTACCTGATGACCAGTTTTAGTGCATCTGGAAGGAAACTGGAAGCTAGTCTTAAATGGCCAAACCTAAAGACTCTCAGTACTCTCCATTCAGATTCTTAGAGCCCTAGATACCTGGTCAGCACCACCACAGTATCATTTGTCTGGTTATGGGTGGAAATTCTAAATAGGAGCACATAGCTCATCATTTTTGGTGAAAATGAGATAGAGTTAAGAGAATTGTTTTGTACCTTTCCACAATCTCTTGCTTAATGGAAAGAACAGAAAAAACAAACTAGAGTGATTCTGACTTTTATGCTTATAAAAATATAGCTAAACAGATATATTTCCATGTGAGATTCGTGGGGGATGCAAAATAGGTTTCTAAAGTTACAAGTTGTCTAATATAGGAGGAGACACAATAAAAATCAATGCATAATAGGCATGTAGTAATGAATAATTAAGACCGAGAAAATCAATAATTAAAGAAGCACAACATTTTTATTGAAGCATATTTTCCCCCCAATTCTAGGACATGGGAAATAATCAAAATACAGATTCCAGGCTGCTATCACGCTTACTCATAATACATTTCCAGATGAGGATATTACCTGCCAGAAGTCTTGATGATAAATGTTTCTTTCTACTCTACCCACCATTGATCTCTCAGTATTTCTAGAGGACAAAAGAGCATGTAAAGCATGAGCTATGGCATGAACAGCATTGTAGATGCTGTAGCTGTGGCCAGTCATATCCATTTCAAAAAGAGTCCCAGGAAGGCTTTCCAAATCCTCTGTACCACTGCAAATATTCTCAGGCACATCACTCATAACAACATTTGGGAATACACAGTTAAAGGCTTCTTGCCAGAACTGTCTGATAAATCCATCTCCCTTTGCACGAAAAGGGTTTTGTTTCCCAGCAAATGATCTGAACTCTGGTAGAGCAGTGGAATGCATCATGAAGGAAAGAGCACCATCGATTATTTTTATATCCCAAGTACATTGAAAAGAGATTAAACTGAACTCCATCTGTGCTGTTATTATCCACACAATACTTTTTGGTTTACTTCTCACCTCTTGTATCTTTGGAATATACTGCAGCCATAACAAGTAATTCATAGCAAAGGATTCTCCATTGTAAACCAGTACATTGGTATTACCACCCATGATATGATCATAGATGTTTTCCCCCCCGCTGAAGCATGTCATCAAGTCTAGTGAAATCAGTAAGTTTGGGGACTTGTTGAATGAAAGAAACACAAATTCCATTTTTGGATAACAGAGGAACCATTGTTTCTACAAATTTTTCTCCCTGGTCATTGTCCATGATAAGGAATGCAATCCATGTCCAATTAAAATGCAGGAGTAGTGAAAGAATCCCTTTATGCTGAAGAGCTTCTGGAGGAACCATCTGATAAAATGAAAGTCCTGGAGTTTTATCATTCATTATTGGAGCAGAGCCACAAATGAGCTGAGAGGAACAGGAAAAGAAGATAACAGCAGTATCTAGATAAGATTTTCAAGTGTTCAAAACAATCAACATATATTGAATTAATGATCATTATACCAACCCTTCAAAACAGCCTTGAGTACCAGACTGAGATGGGAATTCTGGAAAGGAATTCATTGCCTTCTTGATATGAGAATTCCATTGAGATGGTGGTTCTGAAAAGTTTAATAGCATGGAAGATGTTGTAAGTCTGATGAATGGCATTCAGTGATGCTCCAGATCTGGAGGAATTATTGATATGAATTTATCTAAAACCAAGGAGTAGATTCTTGGTAATTGCTGCTTCATATTTTCAAATATCAAAATAGGATATACTGTATAATCCTTGTTTGTCCATGTTTTGATTACATGCACAGAAGAACAAGTAATTTGTATGTTGATGTAAAATTTTAAAAGGTTAAATTTGTAATGCTGAAGGTGAAACAAAACTTCAAGAATAGTTACAGATCTTTTATATTAGCTGACTTCATGAAAATTTATTTTGTTGCAAAAATTTTCACTATATAAGAATAGAAAATGTAACTGATAAAGAAATGTCTAGCCACATAACCAATCACAGTGCAGTCTTCACAGGCCATAAAAAACAGCTCTGCCATATGTCAAAAACAGTTCAGAAACACTAAGAACTTACTATAAACCTTTGACATCTCTATAAGGCACAAGGCAGCAAAATATATTCAGCGCATCATAAACCTAACCAAAGACCTTTAGTTAGAACAGATAAAGCATTCATTTGGAATATATAATTTAAAGGCTGGTCTATAACTGGAACAAACTTTTGATTTGATTTTGCAGGACAAAGATATACAAGATTTATAGAAACATACCAATGAAGGTTAATTGGCAGTCAAAAGACATGAAATTTCTTTTAATTTCAGAACAGAGATGGTTTCAACTGGGAAGGGATACAAATTTTATATTATACCAGGTTTAAGAAAGTAAAAAAGCGTCTAGAAGAATTTAGTGATTTCTAGAAGACTGGCACTGACAAATTAGCTGTCAGTAAACATGTAGAAATAAATTATATAGCTTATGAAAAATGATGCACTCAGTTAAATGAATCACCTATTTATGGCATTATTCATGCAACTTTCTAAGATGATGATTGGATTTTGAAGAAATCACTGAACCAAAAAAATTGCATACCATTTTTGTTTAATTGTTTAGCTACCCAGTTGGGATCCACTTCATGAAATTATTCTTAATCAGACTGCAATTTATAAATATTAAAAAAAAAACCAAATCAAGATCCAGAGCCAGCAAACCAAGCTTTTTACAATAATTTTCAAAACATTGAATAATTGGGCAATATGAGCCCAAGTTACAGAAGAAAAATAGTTTGACTTGTCTGCAACACAAAGATGTCAAATTTCAGAGGAGAGTTATTTTTCTAGTTAAGAAGTATTTACTATTTGACTCCAAATACTATTTACTATTTGAATATATTTAACTCTGAAAAACAAAATTGCATTGTGAAAGTATGACACTATAGGTAGCATCACATTTGCATGCAAGGATGTCCAATCTACCTGTGGAAGTTTAACAGTTAACAGTCATTAACAGTCAATGAACATCTAAATTATTTACTTGAATAGACTGCACATAACACTAAAAAACAAAACTCAATTGTAAAAGTGGGACAATAAAAATAGGATGATATTTGCATGCAAGGTTGTCCAACCTACCTGTGGAATCTTATAGATATCCAAGAGAGTTGCCATATGAAGGGAGATTTTAGCATCCAGTCCTCCAATAACAGCTATGACTTTATTCTGGATGTTACATAAGTAGTTGGGGACAAGTCTCTCAGTTGCTGATAGGAGTAGCATGGTGGCCTGATAGGTTCTTTGAGCAATGTCATAGCTGTCATAAATATGGAAACCCAGGGTGAGATTGGGTAAGATTTGTGGGTTTTCATTGATCTCCTTTACTGCAAATGCCAAAGCCAGTATGTGCTGGTAATTCTTAGGAATTCCGCTACAATGAGAGTTGCATTACATATCAGAAGGACATTCTAGAGGTTTGTACATTCTAACATAGTCTAACAGGCCAGCCCCTTCTATAACAAGTAATCCTATCCTTCTGACATGGTAAAACTCAGCTATGAGGATGTAGAATTAATCTGTAGATTGTGGAATGCGCTGAGATGGATAGACTTACCAAGGAGATCCAAGAAAAGGAAGAATCTGAATATTATCTGGTCTGGCAAAAATGGTATAAATGGTTAGAGGGAAGTGAAAAAAAAAGAGAAGAAGAAAGAAAGAAAAATTAAATAAAAGAAAAGATATCAATAGAGTAAAATAAATTTTTACATCAAATGAAATTTAAAAAAGAGACACGAGATATCAATAAAATAATATCATTATATAAGGTGAGAGAAATATTGTATATTGAAGAATATAGGATATTGATATTGTAACAATTCAGATATTATAGATAGATGTTATTAAGATGATGCTTGTTGTAAATTGTTTTACTTGCATTTATAAATGTATTATGTGGTTTCTTAAATTAATAAAAGTTTAAAAAATTTTTTAAAAAAGAATTAATCTGTAGGCAAGTGCAGGCATAAAGGATTCAATATCTATTGTCAGAATACAGACATTTCTGCAAGAAATTTGGGCAAATAATTTCAGATATAAATGGAATGTATGGAATGTACATATATAATGTGGCTTTCAAAAAGGTAGACAGTCTTCTGGCCCAGAGCTAGGCTTGTAGACACTCCTGTATTGTTAGTTGGAGTAGAAGAACTTGCAGTGTGTTTGAAGAATGCCATTGTTTTATTAGATACAAGGCAAATTAATATATTTTATTTAGGAGGATTATGTAGAAAAATGAAGAATCAACCTTCCCCAAGCTATCTCCCCAAAGTGGACAATGTGGCAATGGCTCAGAATCATACTGGTAGGTGTGCAAGCCCAGCTCTTTGAAGATTCTCAGTCTTAGGAAATTTGATTTAAAAACTTCATTCATTACCACAGTATATGTTGCTTGGTTGATTTAAAAAGTGGTATTCTTAGCATCTCTTTAAGTTTACCTCAGCTATTATTTTCTGATGGAAATTCTATAATTATTTATTTTGACAGTCATAAATGCAGGAAAAATATAAATAAATAATTACATTCCTTACACAAACTGTCCAGGCAATACTGGAGGAGGATGACCTTCAAAGGTGATTTTTTCAGTGATTGGACCAACTTGAGATGAAATTCCACCAACCATAAGATCTCCTGGATGATGGTACTTGTGATATGGAGGATATGGATGAAAGATGCTACATCTGTGAATTATGCATGCCACATGGGAACTCAGCATTAGCATTAAGACTAGTAAAATTGTCCTCCCCATTACAAGGGCAAATTTCAAAGAATCTCTCTTATTCTTTAGGATAAAGCCATATGCACATCTACAATGTCTACATTTAACAGATCCTGACTCTTTTTAGTCTAAATCTTGGAGTATCCAGAGTCAGACCTGGAGCTCCTTACCCATCCATAAGCCTACCATGTTTCTCTCCAGCTCTAAACGCTATTAATTTTTTAAAAGAAACAGAGGGAAGAAATTTACCACACCTGTCTTTTTAGCTAATAGTAAATGGGCACTAAATTCACTGGGATTTTGCAAAACAGTAGAATTAATAATAGTAATCTAGATGCACAAGCAAGAAGGTGATTATTAAATCAGAGTTCAGTTCCTTAGGGAAGTCCTGAAGAAATTATCTTTTTCAGAGTTGAGCTATTGTTTTCTCTACTATTCTGATAGGAACTAGGATATTATTTGGCAAGGATCCTTAATGGGGAATATTTGAGTGATTAAAAGACAGTCATATTTTGGGAAAAGGTGGATAGTGACGTTGAGCACAGTGACCAAACCAAGAGAGATTTTCATCAGTTTGTGGCAGAATTCTGAAGCTAGTTTGCTATGATATGACTACCTTGGAATAGCAAGACTCAAACTTTACATAAATGGGGGACCACCAAACAATTTACTAAAGGATAAATAGGAAGCATTTCTGTTAAAACTAATAAAAGGTACGAAGTCATAAAACACAGTCAGCTCTAAACATACTGTATACACAGACACAGAGAAGGACCCAAAAGAAATAGATTTCTGATAGAATATTTTGATAGAACTCTTTTTACTGAAGATTTGTCTTAAATTCTACCAGCAGCATTTAATTATTTTCTTGATATAGCACTGCTTTAAACATGAAATGTGGACTATATTTTATAACTCAGTCTGTTTCTCTCCTCTCAGGAACAGCTTCAGTAGTTTAACAGATCCCTTTGTAAATTCAAGATATATATTTTTTCTCTAAGTCACTCTTCTGATTTATCTTTTGTGTGTCTCCTTTAATTATGACATCAGTTGGTTTCACTTGTAAATCTGTTTGGAATCTTTTTCCATATTACTGGTGTAGTCTGGCATTTTAAAATCCATTTTCAAGCCTACCTCAGTCCAAGTCTCTATTTTGCCTGAGGTTTTTTTTTTTTGTACAACATGGGTGCTTTTATGACTTGTGGACTTCAACTCCCAGAATTGGCTGGCTCAGGAATTCTGGGAGTTGAAGTCTACAAGTCATAGAAAGGTTATCATTCCCCAACTCTGTTCTATAACCTCTGTTAAATTCATTTATGCAGTGGCAGACAATCTTAAAAGTAATTTGAGTACATTATTCCTACATAGTCTTAATATCTTCTATTGTCAAAGAATATAGCTCCACTATATTAATGGGTTTCTTCTCCTTTAATTGTAAAATGAATGTTCTAAGTCCTCCTTTTGCAGTTTTGCAAAAAATAAAATATGTCCATGTAATCCTTAAAATTACATGAAATGTCTTTCATCCTGGAAACAAGGAAACAGAATAGCAGGGACCTTGTAGATCATCTACTCCAAACCCACCCACCCCCCACCCTACAGGAGACCCGATACCATTTCTGACAGATGGGAGTCCAGTCTCTTCTTGAAAGCTTCCCGTGATAAAGCTCCCACAACTTCTGAAGGCAAGCTGTTCCATTGGTTGATTGTTCTCACTGTCAAAACATTTCTTCTTATTTCCAGGTTGAATCTTTCCTTGATCAGTTTCCATCCATTATTCTTTGCCTGGTCTTCTTTGGAAAATAGTTTGAACCCTTCTTCTCTGTCACAGCCCCAAAACAATGGAACACTGGTCCTTCTCTTCACTAGACTAGCCATGCCCTGTTCCTGTAACCAATCTTCATATGTTTTAGCCTCCAGTCCTCTAATTATCTTTGTTGCTCTTTGTAACAGGGGGGTCTTAACACATGGGCCTGATGGGCACTTGCCTGTGAGCCTCATGAGCATAGGGGCCCCATACTAATCTGTGTATGTTAACCCTTCAATGCATCTTGTATCATATAAATACAAAAACTGTATGGCTTACTGAGTATTATTGTGTTTTTCAACATGAATTTTGTTGGAAGTGCCAATATGTGTTTAATTTTATTGACCATTTACATTTTTTATTCCTGTGAGTAGTTGTCATAGGGGCCCCAGTACACTGTTTTGCCCAGAGCCCATAATGCTGTTAAGACGGCTCTGCTTTGTACTCTTTCCAGAATCACAACATCTTTTTATAATGTTGTGACCAAAACCAGGACACTTCTGGTTTCATAAACATTATCCTTCATAACACCTTTAATAAGTAATAAGCAATTTCCCAAGTATATTATGAAAGGAAATAAGCAAACCCACTGTCCAAATACAGGCATCCAATTCAGATCCCTCCTAGCTCTGTGGGCGTGGCTTGGTGGGCATGGCTTGGTGGGCATGGCAGGGGAAGGATACTGCAAAATCTTCATTCCCACTACACTCTGGGGCCAGAGGTGACATTTGCAGTTCTCCAAACTACTCAAAATTTCCACTACCGGTTCTCCAGAATCTGTCAGAACCTGCTGGATTTCACCCCTGCTTAGAAGCCTACACCTGCATCCTCCTGCCAGTGCTGCCAATACTGTCTCTGCTATATGTGCCAAGGAATTTTTTTTAAAAAAAAATGAGACTACCCATTCATAATAACCATCTCTACTGGAAGACAAGTGGATGCAAGTCAAGGACAATTGGTACAGGAACATACATTTAAATACAGTTAAGTTGCAGAACAGAAGCCAAACTATGTAGAAAATTTAAAAAAATCATACATAGAAAGACAAAAGTGTACTATCTATGGAATTTTATAGATAGTTGCTACATGTAAATAAATTTGGAAATATCGTTCCCCAACAATAACGATTGCATTATTTCTTGTATTACATACAGTATGTGTTTGGAAGTCAATGTCATTGTAGCCTGATAGGTTTTCTGGGCATTGTCATAGCTGCCTGTCACAGATGTAGAAATGCAATGTGAGATTGGATCTGTAAGTTTTCATTGATCTTCTTTATTGCAAATAACAGCTTCTGATTAACATTTATCTCATTTGGGATTGAAGGCAGAGTCACCCAGCACTTCCAAACTTGTCATTTCGAAAGTTTCTTGCAGTTGAGAAACATTAATGAGAAATTTCTGAAATGATTAGAAAGTGACGTTTGTATAATTAGTGTCCATTAAAAATATATGCCGTGTTTGCAAGTAAAGTGGCTAATCCACTTTTCTCCAGGCATTCAAACCTGCAAAACCACCCCCTGTCTTATGATCTCCTCATGTAGCCATCTGGAGTACTCTCCCTACCTCCTTATTCCAAAGAATTGGTCTATTCACAGGTTGCTGCAGTCACTCGTGTCCTTCACTTCCCCAAATTTCCCCTGGAAGTCCACTAACACAAATTAAGCAGTTAACAGTCTAAGGGTTAACACAGAGTTTTTAGATTACAGTGGCCAATGTCCCAGATAGCACCTGCTAGTGCAGCTGGCTTTTCTAGTGGAATGGGATGGGGGTGGGGTGAGGGTAGGAACTGTTCAGGTGGATGATTTTGACCCATCTGTATAGCTAGATGGTAAACAGTTATAGGCAAGAGATCCATTTGCATTTCTTTCTGAAATGGTAGGAAGTAACCAAGTAACTGATAATGATTGGCAGCCTCTTTGAATGATAGACAAACACTAGGTCTACTGTAAATGGAAAGAGGACATTCTATTGATACTGAACAATTATTTACAAATATTAACGATTATTAAACTGCCAGAGTGCATGGATACAAGGACAAACATGATGAGATCATCCATAATTTAGAATTTAAATCCAGATATAAAACCTTTCCTACTCCTTCAAGTTTTCACTAAGCCTGGAATCTATTGATGAGACATATTTCTTCATATTCTTGGATCTTTGCACTCCTGTTTAAATAATGATCTTCCACATGAACTGACTGCTGAAAATATTAGACCATTTATCCACTAGTCTCATTCAAGATTTACTTACTCATGTAACTTTCTCACCAATTAGTTTCTGAAAAACTCCAGAAAGGAGGTACATAATCCTAGATTAACAATGTAGTCACTGAGATTCCTTCTCATCAGAAAGTAACTAATAATGGGACAACAGTGAATATGCTTCAGAAAAAATGCTGAAAAAGAGGATAAAATCTCAAGAACTGATAAGAAAGGGTAGGATGCATCATCGCCCTTTAGTAAAACCTTAGAATGTTTGGAAAATGCACACACATATAAAACAGTTAAATGCTGGGAGGGAGGGAGGAAACTGGATGCATGGGGTGTTGAGATTGAATTTTAATTCAACAACCACCTCCAGTGTGATCCTGCCCCATTAGGGCTCCAAGCCACCTGACAGAGCCAGATCTTTAGGCTCCCGATCAAAAGAGTGAAAGCCACTCTCTGGGAGTAAAATGTTGCAAAGGGCAGGAGCCTTCCCTGACAGAGAAGGACTTTCTCCTGGACCACATCTGCCAGAATTCCTTGAATGATGGGACCTGCAGCACACCTCCTCTGCTGGCACCGGTTGGGCAGGCCAGTCCCAATGGGTTGAGACAGTTCCATAAGTAACCTGGACCTATGCCATGCAGGGCTTTAAACTAATAACTAATACATTGAAACTAAAAATGTTGACAGAAGAAGAATGAGACGGATTATTAATCAATCTTCTTTCTCATTAGTTGTTCCCTTTTGTTCAACTCAGGCCGAAAGACGATGATGTAACATTTGGGGAAAAAGATACAACCCAGAAGCCCAGCACCCGAAGCTAAGATAGAAAAGATCTCTACAGCCACCATGTACTTCCCCTTGCAGCTCAGGTATGCTGGAACAAACGTCAACCAAACACTACAAAAGACCAACATGCTGAAGGTGATGAATTTGGCTTCATTGAAACTGTCAGGTAATTTCCTGGCAAGAAAAGCTGTGGTGAAGCTGATAAAAGCCAGGAAACCCATGTAGCCAAGGACACAATAAAACATGGTCACAGAGCCTTCATTGCATTGAAGGATAATTTCTTCAGTCACTGAGATCATATCAGCCTCTGGGAATGGAGGGTTAATTGATAGCCAGAGAGTACAAATGCCGGCTTGGATCAGGGAGCAGGAAACAACAATAGAATTAGTTAATTTTTTCCCGATCCATTTTCTCATTCTGGATCCTGGTTTGGTGGCCATAAAAGCCAGAACCACTGTGATGGTCTTTGCCAAGACTGAAGAAACAGCCACTGAGAAGACCACACCAAAAGTTGTTTGTCTCAGGAGACAGGTAAATTTTCCTGGTTGGCCAATAAATAGCAGTGCTGAAAGGAAGCAGAGCAGGAGGGAAATGAGGAGAGTGTAAGTCAGATCCCTGTTGTTGGCTACCACAATGGGAGTTTTGTTGTGGCTCAGAAATGCTCCAAGCACAAGAGCAGTAGTCATTGAAAAAGAAAGTGTAATACAGGCTAAACTGATCCCTAAAGGTTCTTCATAAGTCAAGACACTAATACTTTTGGGAATACAAAAATTGTGTTTCTTGTTTGGATAGTATTTGTCTTTGCATCTGGAACACTCATTTCTATCTGAAAAAGAAGAAATAATGTAACATTATTATGTCACACATATTCTGTATGGCACAATCATATTCTAGTCCTAAAGCTAATTTGTAAGTATTTAATCTTTATATTTTTTATAAAATATGATTATCAAAATTTCTGCTAAATTTAATTGGCACATAATTTTTATTTGTTTTAATTAACATTATCTCTCTCTCTCTTTCTCATCTATCATCTGCCAAAAGGAATTAAAGATCTATAATGCTGGTCAAATCATAGGATAAATGATTGAGAGAATTAGTACAAATAGAATGTTTATAGCTGAGGGATGAACTGTGTATTTATCCATCTGGATTTAGTTGTTTTCTTGCAGATATTTGATTATTAAACTAGGTAACATCCTCAGTGCTAGAAGGGACTTAGGTTTGTTTCAAAATTAGTGAAGGGTACTGAATTTATGACAGATTCTGTTTTGATAGTGTCAGGTAGATATTGGACATAAATGGATTAGGTTGGAAAGGAGTAAAAAGAAAAGTAAAATAAGAACAACTGAAGAATGATTAATACAAATACTATATATCAAACTGACAGAAGAGAGATTATTTTCCAAGCCAATTAATGGGAAGTGGAAGGAAGAAAACATTACCCAGACTGCCACAGAAATATGTGCCTTCGAAAATATGAGAAAGGATGTTTGAGGGAATGATAAGTGAAAAAAAATGTAGATGGAAATAAACACATCCAAGAGATTGTGGGAGGAAAAACAGTTGAAAGGGGGTTACTGCAGATTGTGTACAATGTCATATTCCTTGCACAATGTACAAGGAATACAATGTCAAAAAAATATAGTGAAGGGAGGATAGGAAGAATTAATATTCAACAGAAAAAATGCAGATATATTTTGATGGAAGGAAAACACGCTTTGGATAGTGGGAAAGATGTCCAAACAAGGAATCTCCAGCAATACAAATGGAATTAAACATCAGTGATAAAATGATTTCAGATAAATCTGAATTTAGGGAATGTTTTTGAAAAGTATTTCATAGATTTTTATGGGAATAATAGTGATTTGTTGAAGAATAGACTTGAAATGAATCTAATACAATAGAAGTAAATATATTTTGTGAGAATTTTTTAAAAAGAATGTAGATATTAATATTGATATTATTAAATTAATAATTAATTTAATATTGATATTATTAAATACAGGTGCAGATTGCTTGTGGAATTGTGGCACAGCTTGTTTCCATTAGTGTGTATCTATGAACAACAGTTGGAAGAATGCCATTATTGTTCAGCTACATGGAAAAAAATAAAAGAAAAATGAAGGAAAAATTACAGGATGTAATGGTATGTGAGAATGAATTTGGGAGATTGAACCCAATGGTGGAATTCAGCCGGTTTGGGCTGGTTTGGGCGAATCAGTAGTTAAATTGCTGGCTGGCCTCTCCCCTTCCTGCCCTGCTCCTTCCAGGAATCCCAATGCACCCCATTTTGGCACCCAGGTAAGTGCAGGGAGGCCTATTAGGCCCAAAATGGGGCACGGGGTGTGTGTGACATGCCTCCCACAGCCCGTTTTTGCTCCCAGGCGGCTTCAGGAAGGCCTTCTAGGCCCAAAAGGGGGAGTGGGTGTGGCGCGGCCCCCCGCAGCCCATTTTTGCTCCCAGAGTGGTGCAGGAGGCAGAGTGCTGCCTGTCACACCCCCTGGCTATGCCCACCATAGCTTCACCCACCCAGCTGGTCATTAGGGCAGAGAACTAGTTGTTAAATTATTTGAATCCCACCACTGAGTGAACCCATAGTCTGTACTTAGGATCAGATAAAAGTCAGCATAATTGACAGGGCAATAGGCTCAGAAGAGAATTTCCCTAATTTCTTGGACTGTAAAGATAATGGAGGAAGAACTGTACTTTCAGGCTCATGAGATTCTGTTAATATAGCCTCACAATAAAGTAAAATTAGTTTATCTGACAGAAGATGTTCAAATTGTGAAGTGTGCCTGGGATGGTATTTGGCAGAATTTTGATAAAATGCCAGAAAAATGTTTAAGAACATTTGTGACATATGGAATGGTTTTTTTTTTTTTTGGTTTTTTTTGCTTTGCCATTGTACTGCTCTTCAGACCTGCTCTTTAGCCAGTAACTGACTGATCTGTGAATGTATCCTGGATTCTAGATGCAGGAAGAAGAAGTAAGAATAAGTGCTTCATTATAAGAGCTTCTCAAAGACTGGAAAGCAATGACAGTTGTACATGTGGTCTGATCCATTTGCCAGTATATTTATTTATTTAAAGCATTTTGACACTACCCATCTTTAGCCGTGAGACTTTTGGTGACATACAAAAATAGAGGAAATGTCAAAGATAGCAAATCCTCCCCACTACAATAAATAAATAAAATAAAATAATTAAAACCAAGTAAACAATAAATGTCAAACATGGCTAAGAAATACTACAGCATCTAAAATGGGGACTACTTATTCTGGCCCAAGGCCTGGGGAAAAGCTGGATCTTAATCAGTTTCTTTAAGGCCTGTATTTTGGGGGAAGATGATTCCAAAGTTTCATGTTATATTTCCACCCAAGATTTGTTTTCCTTCAAACTCCTGCTTCCTGCTTGGCAGATTTGATCACTAGAAAGAAGAGAATTCTCTCTAGTGAGAATTGCTCCCCACCATGCCCATTTTATAAGTTGGGTTTCAACTCAGGTAGAAGAAGGAGGAAAGTATATTCAGTTGCTTCCCTTTTAGCTTCATTTGTTCTCCTTGTCTTCCTTTGCTGGGGAGAGGTAGGGAATCATTGCTCTCAGTAGGTTTCATAGTGGAGACGAAAGTGAATCGAATGAGGAAGGTAGTGATGACCTCCCAGGATAAACCAGATAGGAATCACAACTTGATGAATTATTTCTACTTTATTGTGAATCTACATTCACAGAATCTTGCAACCCGAGAAACTGGGGAGGGTCTCTTCTGAGTGGCTTGTCCCACCTGTTATCCAGCTGCAGGCTATGCTGTCTCTTATCTGATCATTTCCTTCACAATTACACAATTATTTGTAAATGTTCAGGTCAGAGGTGAGCTTCACATATTGTAGCAACCGGTTCACCCAGCACCAGAAATGTGAGCATGTGCGCATGCTCGCACCATCCATGCATGCATGTGGCATCACAAAACATGGCAATTCACTTTTGCATGCCATCCGTGCATGCGTGTGGCATCACAAAACATGGCAATTCACTCTTGCGTGCCATCCGCGCATGCGTGCCATATCAAACAACACGGCAATTCGCTCTTGCACACCGTTCACACATACATGCGGCATCAAAAATACAGTGATATAGGACGGGATTGTGCCCAGGCGGGTGGGCAGGCCCACCCGCAGGTCTCCACTACCAGTTTGCCCGAATGTTCCAATCCAGCTGAATACCAATTCCGGTTCAGGTGGTGATGAACATCTCTTACCATTCTCAGTTGAAACTCTCCCTTCTGGACAGGGGATGCAGTCATAACAGCAAAATGCCTTTCCTTCCTTCACTTTTTTGCTGGAACCAGGATAACAGCTCTTGCTGCAGACAGAGATGGGTATCACCTGGAAATTAAAGAGGAAACTTATACATCTGGAAGCTTTTTAGTCTATTGTCGTCATTTAAAATGATGAAAGCATATCATGGTCATATCCAGTTTAGATATAGGAATAATAGTTTGAAAAAGATGTTTCCATTGTAAAGCTCAGTTAAATATACTTGTTTTAAGATTAAACAAGTGCAATCATGAATTCTGAAAAGAAAAAACAACAACCCTGGATTTAAGATAGGTGTAGCATAGGCCCACAGTGGGCTGAAACAAATTGTTGTTTCTTTATTATATTATATAATTGTATTGCATCATGGAGACATGATGTCCTACTTTAACCTAAAAGCTGTTAATGGTCATCTTTACAGATGATCAGATATGAAATTGTGCTCTACAAGTTGGTTATAGGGAGATAACTTTATGTAAGAATTTCCTTTTGTCCAATAATATGAATTGATGTATCAAATTAAAAAAAACAGCATGTTTGTTCAGAATGAAGGACAATAATTAAATCCTACCTGGTTAAACCAGCTGTGCCATGTAATCATTTCATCATTGATGGTTAATAGTTTATCTGAAGGAGCTGAATGGTCCACATTTCCAACTTTCACATGAAGAATGGACTTGTTTCGGAAAGCAATCAAGTTGATAATATCAAATCCAGCTGCTACAATCCCATTCTGATCAAAGGAGACCAGTTCCCCAGCAGTGTTGTTAAAAGCAACATTTCTCAAAAAATAGTGGAACTAAATTGAAAAGAAAATGTAATAATTTAGGTTTACCAGACAATCATAAAGATGCAGAAAAACAGATATATTTCCAAATGATATTCATGTAGGCTGTTAAATAAACTTTCTGAAATTATCATTAAGTATTGTACCTTATGATTCTTGATGAATGTATCTTCCTTCCTGTACACTGAGAGCATATGCACCAAGACAAATTCCTTGTGTGTCCAGTCACATTCAGCCAATAAAAAATTCTATTCTATTCTATTCTATTCTATTCTATTCTATTCTATTCTGTTCTGTTCTGTTCTGTTCTGTTCTGTTCTGTTCTGTTCTGTTCTGTTCTATTCTATTCTATTCTATTCTATTCTATTCTATTCTATTCCATTCCATTCCATTCCATTCCATTCCATTCCATTCCATTCCATTCTATAAGTTAAGTAGCATAGGTGGAGTCCCAACAGAAATCAATGGGCAATAGTCATATAGCAATCAATACTTAAGATAGTGGAAATAAATAGATACACAGCATTCTAATTGAAGCATTATTCCCCCCCCCCCGAAATCTAGGGCATTGGAAGTCAGTCATAGTACAGATTCAAGGTTTGCATTAAGCTTACTTTAAAAGTATTTTGCTTAACGAGGATATTACCTTCCAGAACTGTTGACTACGAATCTTCCGTCCTACCCTACCTGCCATTGATCTCTCGGTATCTCTTGAAGAGGACACAGCATGTAAAGCATGAGCTATGGCATGTACAGCATTGTAGATACTATAACTGTGGCCAGTCATGTCCATTTGAAAAAGAGTCCCAGGAAGGCTCTCCAGATCCTCTGTACCATTACAATCATTCTCAGGCACATCACTCATAACAACATTTGGGAATACACAGTCAAAGGCATCTTGCCAGAACTGTCTGATAAATCCATCTCCCTTTGCAGTGAATGGGTTTTGTTTTCCAACAAATGATCTGAATTCTGGTAGAGCAGTGGAATGCAGCATAAAGGAAAGGGCACCATCAATTACTTTTATATCCCAAGCACGTTGAAAAGGGATTAAACTGAACTCCACCTGTGCTGTTATTATCCACACAATACCTTTTGGTTTACTTCTCACCTTTTCTATATTTGGAATATACTGCAACCATAACAAATAGCTCATAGCAAGGAATTCTCCATTGTACACCAATGCATTAACCTTACTATTCATGACATGATCATATATTTTTGCCCCCTGTTGAAGCATGCCCTCAAATCCATTGAAAACAGTAAATTTGGGGAATCGGTGAATGAAAGAAACACAAACCCCATTTTTGGGAAAAAGAGAAATCACCGTTTCTACAAATTTTTCTCCCTGGTCACTGTCCATGATAAAAATCCCAATCCATGTCCAATTAAAATGCAGGAGCAGTGAGAGAATCCCTTTATGCTGAAGTTCTTCTGGGGGAACCATTTGATAAAAGGAAAGGCCTGGAGTTTTATCATTCATTATCGGCGCAGAGCCATAAATGAGCTAGAGAGAAACAGGAAAAGGAGATAAGAGCCGCATCTAGGAAACATTTTCAAGTGTTCAAAACAATCAACATACAGTATATTGAATTAATAATTCTTATACCAACCCTTCAAAACAGTGTTGGCTGGCTCATTGAAGTAGGAATTCCAGAAAGGAATTTGTTGCCCCTTGTTGATATGGGTATTCCATTGAGATGGTAGTTCTGGAAAGCATAACTGCATGGAAGGGCTCGGACGTCTGTTGATTGCCATTCAGTGATGCTCCAGATCTGAAGGAATTACTGATATGAATTTATCTAAAACCAAGCTGCAGATTTGTAAGTGATGGATAATTGCTGTTTCATATCTTCTAAATATCAAAAGAGGATATACCATCCCTGTTTGTCTTCATGCATAGGTATACCTAGTAGTTTTGACTACATGCACAGGTAGACAAAGGGATTTGTATGTTGATATCAAATTTCAAATGGTTAAATTTCTACAGCTGAAGGCGAAATAAAGTTACATTTATTACATCAGCAATAGTCACAATTTACATTTGCAGATTTCACCTAAATTCATTTTCTTGCAACATTTTTTGCTATATAAACACAAAAAAAATTATAAAGAAATTACTAGCTGCACAACTAATCATAATTTTGTTATCACAACCATGGGGGAAACATCTCTGCCATACACTAGCACTGATGATGTTACCTAGTTTGGGTAATAAAATGTCTGCAAGAAAACAAGCAAGCTCAGAGAGCATCAAGGACATCATACAACACATTTAAGAAACAATTTGAAGCTTAGCATAATTTACTGCCATCTCAATAATGTACAAGGCAACAAACTGATTCAAAATTTATAAATTCAAAGTTCATAAACCTAATCAAAGACTCTTTAGGTTCAGAAGACAAAGCTTTCATTTACAAAACATAGCTTAAGGATTGATCTATGACAGTAATAAAGTTTTGATTTGGCTTGAAGGTGTAGGACAAAGAAGCGTAAGATTTATAGAACACACCCAATGTCAAGGAATAGTCAAAAGACATGATAAAACTTGCTTAATTTCATAACAGAGATGGTTTTAACTGGGAAGTGGTACACATTTTACATTATCCCAAGTTTAATAAAGTAAGAGAATTTTCAGACTGGAACTGACAAATTAGCCTTGCTGTAGACATGTACAAATAATTTAAAGCATTTGTGAAATATGATACATTCAGATTAATGAGCCACCTAATTATGGCATGCTTCATGTAATATTTATTAATATGAAAACAAAACCAAAAACCAAATTAGGACCCAGAAAAGAGGAAACCCTTCTTCTTTCAATAATTTGCAGTAAATTTAATAGTTGGCCAATGTGAGCTCAAGGCACAAAAACAATCACATCAGTTTTTAATTGAATAAAGTCAAATTTCAGGGAGGCATTTTTCAACTCCTGAACCATTTATTTGAATATACCTAATGCTGCAAAACAAAACTGCATTGTGAAAATAGGATTCTACAGGTCGAATGACATTTGCATATAAGGTTGTCCAACCTACCTGTGGAATCTTAAAGATATCCAAGAGATTTGCGACATGGAGTGAGATTTCAGCATCCAATCCTCCAATAACAGCTATGACTTTATTCTGGAAGTTGCATAGGTAGTTGGGAACCAGTCTCTCAGTTGCTGATAGAAGTAGCATGGTGGCCTGATAGGTCCTTTGAGCATTGCCATAGCTATCATATATGTAGAAGCCCAGGGTGAGATTGGGTAAGATTTGTGGGTTTTCATTGATCTCCTTTACTGCAAATGCCAAAGTCAGGATGTGCTGGTAATTCTTAGGAACTCCGCTACAATGAGAGTTACATTAAACATCAGAAGTATATTCTACTAGTTCTTTTATTATAGTCAGTAGTTACAATATAACATGCCAGCTCCATCAAGCAATTCTACCTTTCTGATATGATAAATCAACACTCATTAGGATGCACAAGTGTATGTGAACAAGAATTCATATTTATTGTCAGAATAGTGGCATGCCTTCAGGAAAATTGGGCAAATAATGTTAGGTATAAAACACAGGGATGTCTGGAATCCACATATATAATATGACTTAAAAAAGAAAAAGAAAAAGAAAAAAAGGAAGACAGTCCTCTAGCAGAGAGCCAGGGTAGCAGACACTCTTGCATTGTTAATTGGAGTAGAAGATCTTGCAGTTTTTTTGAAGGGATAATTGTATTAGATACAAAACAAGTTAATTTATATTATGTAGGAGGACTACGTAGAAAAAAGAGCACTAAATCAGACTTCACCAAGCTACCTTCCCCATAGTAGTGCCCAGGCAGATTAGCAATAATTGAGATTTAGAGGCATGGAAGCCCAGTTATTTGGAGAAAATTTGGTTTTGGAAGTTTGCTTTTATCTCATTATATTCCACACTATATTTTGCCCGGTTGCGAAAAGAATGCTGTTCTTAGCATCTAATTTCAACCCAGTCAATTAACTATTGCTTTGTGATGGAAATGCTATAATTAATTATTTTGGCAATCATAAACACAGGAAAGTATAAGCAAATATAAGTACAGTCCTTACAAAAACTGCCCAGGCAATACTGGTGGAGGATGAACTTGAAAGCTGAGTTTTTCAGAGACTGGACCAACTTGAGATGAAATTCCACCAACCATAAGGTCTCCTGGATGATGGTACTTGTGATATGGAGGATATGGATGAAAGATGCTGCACCTGTGAGTCATGCATACAACATGGGGACTCAGTACTAGCATTAAGATTAGTAAAAATGGTGTCCCCATTACAAGGGCAAGTCGCAAAGAACCCCCCGTATCCCTAGGATAAAGCCATTAGCTGTTCCGCAGTTAACACCTCCTGATTTGTTGTAGCTGAATCTTGGTCTATCTAGGATAGATTTCGGGATGCTAATCGATCCATAAGCCTGCCATGTTTCTCTTGACCTCTAAAAGGAGCTAATATTTTAAGAGAAAGAGGGAGAAGCAATTTCCTACATCAGTACTTTTTAAATCTTTCTAATAGGCACTGAAATTCAGAAGGATTTGAGAAAACAACAGAATTAATAACAGTAATTTAGATGAAGAAAGAAGAAGGTAATTATTAAGTCTGAATTCAGTTCCCTAGGGAATACCTGAAGAAATTATGTTTTCAGAATTGAACTATTGTTTTCTCTCCTATTGTAATATGGACTACTAGGACATCAGGCAAGATCAGGAATAGGGAATATCTGAATGACTGAAAGCCACATACATATTTTGGGGGACAATGGTAATAATGGGCAACTGATGAAACCAAGATAGGTGCTTTAGATTTTCATCAGTTGTTTGTGGTGTTATTCTTGCTCGCTATTCTCATTTGCTAATAATATGAGCCAATTTTGTACGGACACATTTTTTGTAAATTTTATGTAAATTTTATATACATTTTATGTAAATGGGTGTGTGTCACCAAATGATTTGTTGAAATATAAATAAGAAGCATTTCTGTTTAAACAAACATACAGTTTGAGGCTCCTCTTCTTGTTCATAACAAATACCCCAAATACTTAGAAGTTATACTCAACAAGACATTGTCCTTCAAAGAACGTTCCACCCAGAAAGAAATGCCCACAGAGTCATGGAACAATCTGCAAGAGTGCTCTGAAAATGCTCAGGATCCTTCAAGGTAAATTTTGTTAATGAGTGCTTTTCCACAAGATCGTCATATCCCAAAATTCTCCAGAAGTCAGAAATGATCTGCATGCCAAAGTTCATGAAACATAGGCCTAAGGAAAACCTGGATATTGTATATGCACTCTCATATGCGTAGGCCCTTAATAAACTTATTCTATGGCTACCATGCAACCATGACTTAACTGTGTCAGTCCATGGTTGCATGATAGCCACAGAATCCTGGACTAATCCAATCCACTCACCAAGGGAAAGTTGAAGTCTTCCAATTTAACAAAATGGTGGAATATCACCAGCAGCCAGAAAATTGGTTGGAAAGTATGGTAATGATATAGAAACAGCAAACTGATGCCCCAGCTGAGCTGAAGCAGCAAGCCTCAGCAAGCTGAGTGAAAAACTCAGCTCTACAAAGAAGGTTTGTATCTTTTTGCCTGTGGACTAGAAGCATAGGTGATGCCAGCTGACTGAATGTCTAACAGACCCTGGAAATATGGATAAGACAGAAAGAATTACAGAAGAAATTCCTTAGTCCAGGAAGTAGGAAAGATGAGAAGGAGGCTGAGCTACTTTGTGGCCCTTGCTTTTTGACAATATCCTTAATTTTATGAGTTTCACAGCAAAAGGAAGTATGGAATTCCCCAGAGCAACTTGCAAAAGCTACCTAAGTGCATGGCATGGGATATTTTTCCTCAGATGTAATATTGGAGAGTGTTCTCTGCATTTGCAAGTTGGAATGTAGTCTCTTTTATAACTGCAAGATATCTTTAACAAAATATGAGATCCCTTTAATCTGTGAAAAGACAGCAGCTAACCTCTTCCTAGAACATTGCTATAGCTGATGCTACATTTTTCCATTTCTTTAGCGAATGTCATGAATGTCTTTTCTTCAGAGCTCCCTTTGCTTGCTGATGGTGATTTTGACCTAATGTATTGCTGATTTGTGACATATATGGGGCATCCTCATTTGTGGAAGAGGGAATATTGCCTAACTGCTGGTCCCTTGTTGTGTTAAACATTGTTTCCTGACCACTTTTTTTTTTTGTATTTTGACAATTTCCTTAGGCCTAAACTAAATGCATCTGCAATGAACTTGGCATTCTAGCCTGAACAGAGCAATCTTTGTAAGTTCCAGGATTCAGAATTCCTCATTTTTCCCCCAGTTTGGACTTGAAAGGAAGAATAGCCATGAATGACTTGGGAACTTCTAAGACTCATGCACATGATAAGAGTTTCTCATCACACTTCAGTTCTTGCTATTCTTGTCTATGTTTATTTTTTCCTGTTGGGAAACTGAAACAGAGACTCTCTCATTCATTCGCTCGCTCCCCCTCCACCCCAATTTTTCATTAAAAAAGGTAAACTGCTAGCTAGATCCATGGAGTGTTCCTTTTCTTATTCTATATGCCAATTTAAACAAAACATATTTAGGTTGGGTTACATTTTGTATAGAATATTGGTCCAATATCTGTTACCTACAAATAAGTAGTTTTTCTGTTATTGTAGGATAATACTCCCCTTAACTTTGCTTGCAGCTCATGTCTGCCAATTCTCAACGTCAAGTATGAATGGACAAACATATTGCAATCAAATGTATTGTGTCTATTGCCACGAACTAAGGATTTTTAGAGTGGCAGTACAAATAGCATCAAGTGCTATGGATTTTTAAGAAGACATCCATTTGGAGAATCCAAAATGAAACTTCAATTAACATTCAATCAATAGAATTTATTAAATAATAGTTGAAGTTGCTGGTATAAATAAATAGTTGAAGTTGCTGGTATAAATGACAACCAAATAATCTTTTGCTGTTCAATACCTACAATGAGTTTACAAGCTAATGTGGATGCTTTAAGCAATTAACACTCTAAAAATTAACACAGAGCTCCTAGGCTACATGGCTAATGTCCCAGATTGTGGCTCCCATGGTTTCATGTATAGCTTGTTCTCCTACTGAGAGCATGGGGAGGCAGGAGTGGAACTTTATAGATAAATGACTCTGTCCTATTGGTACAGCTAAGTGATATACAGTATTAGGCAAGAAATCCATCTGAATTAGTGTTTATTTCTGAAGTTGTAACAGGTCAGAGAGAAAAACATGACTAGAGAAGCTAATTCTATTTTATTATAAGACTATGTGATTAGAACTTTGCAAATATGAAAATACAATTCTTCTACCATCATTTATTATTTTATTATTTATTTATTTTTATTATTATTTATTAGATTTCTATACCGCCCTACTCCCGAAGGACTCAGGGCGGTGCACAGCCAAACAATAAAAACACATACAATACAAAATTTAAAAAATAGAATAAAATCAAATTAAATAATTTTGGCCCCGACAAATTTAAAACCCCAAACTTTTAAAACCAATTTAAAATTGAATATATAAATACTAAAAATATTTAAAATTTTAAAAATCTTTTATAAAAGAGGGGGAAAATTAGGCCAGGCCGGCCTGGTGAAATAGTAAGGTCTTTAAGGCGCGGCGGAAGGTGCGCAGATCCGGGATTTAAGAAGGGTTCCTTCCTAGCCTCTTGCTCTGCCTACTGTGTAGCTGTGAGCTATGCTATCTCTTATCTGACCATTCCCTAGGCATGTCTTTGCCACGTCAGTCTTTCCACATTCCAATAAAGCTGTAACTAAGTAACTAATAATGATTAGCACCCTCTTTGAATCTGAAAGCAAATTGTCAAGTCCTTCCAGCTACTACATACAGAGAGAAGACAATGTTATTGCTGAGAAATTATCCAGCTGTCAGGCTGTCACTGATACAGCGAGAATCTTGTATTGATTATACTCTCGGCAATAGCCATGTTGATATACTTCATAGTTGATAGTTACAGAATTATTATAAATGATACATTAGGCTTTAGATCCAGAATTTAAACCATTTTGAACTCCTTTGCACTTCTCAATAAACATCATGCCATCTATTATTGACAGATATTTATTTATTTATTTATTTATTTATTTATTTATTTATTTATTTAATTAGATTTTTATACTGCCCTTCTCCTACTGGACTCAGGGCGGTGAACAGCCAAGAATAAAAACATCACATACAAAATTTAAGATTAATTTTAAAAGAATTAAACAACTTTTGGCCCAATATAAAATTTAAAACACCCCAACTAAAATCAATTAATAATTAAAAATATCTAAGGGGTGGGGGGGGGGTCAAGCCAGCCCAGCTTGATGAAACAAAAAAGTTTTAAGGGCACGGCGAAAAGCACAGAGATCTGGGATCCTACGTATCTCCAGAGGTAGGTTGTTCCAAAGGACAGGTGCTGCCACAGAGAAGACCCTCCCCCTGGGGGTCGCCAGTCGACATTGCCTGGCCGACAGCACCCTGAGGAGTCCCTCTCTGTGGGAGCGTACTGGCCGGTGGGAGGCTATCGGTGGCAGAAGGCGGTCCCGTAAGTATCCAGGCCCTAAGCCTTCTTCACAGTTCTCCTGTTCAAATAGCCCCAGTAACTGAGGTATGATCTTCCAGTCACTAATTGACACTTGAATCTGGTAGACCATTTATCCACTAATCTCATTCAAGGTTTACTAAATCATGTATCTATCTCAGCAATTGGTTTCTGACAAATTCAAGAAAGATGATACATGATTCTATACTGAAATTCTATACTAATACAGTCACTGAAATTCCTTCTTATCAGTAAATGGATGTTTATGAGCTGCACTGGCTCCCAGTGGTCTTACAGGTGCGATTCAAGGTGTTCGTCATTACCTTTAAAGCGCTCCATGGCATAGGACCCGGATACCTTCGAGAATGACTTCTGCCACCAATAGCCTCGCACCGGCCAGTTCGCTCCCACAGAGAGGGTCTCCTCAGGGTGCCATCAGCCAAGTTATGTTGGCTGGCGACACCCAGGGGGAGAGCCTTCTCTGTGGGAGCCCCAGCCCTGTGGAATGAACTGCCCCCTGAAATTCGTAAGATCTCCGACCTCCGGGTATTTTGCTGTGCACTGAAGACCCTGTTGTTCCTCTAGGCCGGGCTATCAATATAAAAATTTTAAATTGGGGTATTTTAAAGTTTTGGGGTTTTAAATGCAGCCGAATTTATTTAATAATTTTAAATTTTTAATTGATGTTTGTCTTGTGTTTTTAAATAGGCTGTACATCGCCCTGAGTCCCTCGGGAGAAGGGCGGTATAGAAATAAAATTATACTATTATATTTATACTAAATAAGTAATACTCGGAGAAAAAGTTATTGTTCTTTAGAACAGATACTGAAAATAAAATAAGGCATAAAAAACAAATAAAAACATTGGGTGCATCATTCTCTTTTAATTAAATGTTAGAATATTTAGAAAATGCAAATAATTATATAAATCACTATCTGAAAGGCACAGTTTATGAATATTCTATATTGTATAAGAATGAAACATTTATATTAAAATTTGAAAGAGAATAAAAGAGTGATTATATTAATCAGTCCTTTTTTCTCATTAGTTGATCCCTGTTGTTCAGGTCAGGTCGAAACACAATGATATAACATTTGGGAAAAAAGATGCAACCCAAAAGCCCAGCACTAGAGGTCAAGATGGAAAAGATCTCCACAGCCACCATGTATTTCCCTTTGGAGCTCAGGTATGCTGGGACAAAAGTCAACCAAACACTACAAAAGACCAACATGCTGAAGGTGATGAACTTGGCTTCATTGAAACTGTCAGGTAATTTCCTGGCAAGAAAAGCTGTAGTGAAGCTGACAAGAGCCAAGAGACCCATGTAGCCAATGACACAATAAAACATGGTCTCAGAGCCTTCATTACATTGCAGGATAATTTCTTCAGTAATTGAGAACATATCAACATCTGGGAATGGAGGAGCGAATATCAGCCAAAGAGTACAAATGCCTGCTTGGATCAGGGAGCAGGAAACAATAATGCAATTAGTTAATTTTTTCCCCACCCATTTCCTCATCCTGGATCCTGGTTTGGTGGCCATAAAAGCCAAAACCACTGTGATTGTTTTTGCCAAAATAGAAGAAACAGCCACTGAGAAGACCACACCAAAAGTTGTTTGTCTTAGGAGACAGGTAAATTTTCCTGGTTTGCCAATGAATAGCAGTGCTGAAAGGAAGCAGAGCAGGAGGGCAATGAGGAGAGTATAAGACAGGTCCCGGTTGTTGGCTACCACAATGGGAGTATCGTGATGCTTTATAAATGCTCCAAGCACAAGAACAGTAGTCAAAGAAAAAGAATGTGCAAGACAGGCTAAACTGATTCCCAATGGCTCTTTGTAGGTCAAGAAACTAATACTTTTGGGAATACAAAAATTGTGTTTCTTGTTTGGATAGAATTTGTCTTCGCATCTGGAACATTCATTTCTGTCTGAAAAAGAAATGATGCGATGTTTTTCTCATACATATTCTGTATATCTATCCTAGATTGCATAATAATAAAGTTAATTTATAATAATTATAATTATATAATCTTTATGTTTAGTAATCTGTGCAATAATCTTATTTATCAAGATATTCCTTAAACGTAATTCTCATACTAGTTTTTTAATATTCTCATAACATAGGAATTCTAATCATTCTAGTTCAATGTCTGGGGATAAGCCAGATCTTTACCACTTTCTTGAAGGCCTGCAGTATCCTGCATCTCTCATATGCTGGAGAAAATGATTCCAAAGTCCCATCTGAAATTTTCTTTAACTGCCCCTTGCCTTGCCAGATTTTGATTATCGGGGAAAAGAGGTTACTTTACTTGCTGCCATATCTCCATCGTATAAGTTTCTGTTTCAAACTCAAGTAGAACAGTCCAGGGATGGGTTCTATTTACCTTTACTACCGGTTTGCAATGGGGCCATGCACGCATGCACAGAAGCTTCCTGATGACATCGGGGTCGGTGCATGGAGCCTCCCACCGGTTTTACTACCGGTTCAATAGAATCTGATTCTCTTGGCTTCTAAGGGTTTGACAGTATGTGAACAAGAGTGTTTATCATCAGTTTGTTGATTGAAAAGAAGTATTTAATAAAAAGGTTGAATAATGGAACACCTATAAAAAATAGAACTTAAAGTTTGCTTGCTAAATGTGAGAACAACAGTGTATGATTGAAGTGAAGCATTTGTGAAAATAAATAGATGTTTCTATTTAGTATTCAAATCCAGCCAGTATTCTTGCAGTAGCAAATTTTTGTGCCACTGCAATGATAATAAGGAAAGAGCAGTTAAAGAACTAAAGATCCTTATTCTTATTAATACTTTGCTTAGTTATTTTCTAATAATTTCTAGAGAACATATATTTTAATGAATTGTAGTATTGTATTAGTTTTATTAGTATTAGATTAATAATCAGGATATTATGTAGTAAATTCATTAGAGTGTATCACATTTGATTTATTTTATAATTTCTAATATATAACTTCACCCACTTCTTTTTCTTGATCCCGATTGCATTTACTATTTTTTATTGCTCATTTTATTATTTAATGTTGCTGGTCATAAATAAATAACTTTAAATTTCAAATTACATTCCAGATCTACTGGACTTCAGTCAGTTTCACAATAATAATTGTGTATGATTATAATTATAGTTCAGCAGATCAGGACTGTAGAAGATGTGGAAAAATGATCTAAAATGGGTTCAGAGATTAATACACAATTGTGGTAATGTTTCATAAAATCCTGGATGACAGCCCATGTGTAAATGAAAAGCTGGTAACCATCATCCTCACTGAAAATTAATGATAATTTTTTAATTGAATATTTCCAAGAACTGAAATGATGAACCCACAGGTTTAGAAAGTATCTTGTGCATATTATAGCAGCTCATGCCATGTTCAATTTCATCAAAATTTATTCCTTTCTTTCTTTAGAAAAAAAAAATCAAGAAGTGATGTATATCTCTTACCATTCTCAGTTGAAACCCTCCCTTCTGGGCATGGCTGGCAGTCATAACAGCAAAATTCTTCTCCTTTCCTCATCTTTTTGCTGGAACCAGGATAACAGCTGTCACTGCAAACAGAGATGGGTATCACCTGGAAATTAAAGAGGAAATTTATACATCTGGAGGCTTTTTATTCCAATGTCCACATTTGAAATGATGAAAGCATGTCATGGGCATCATCCCATATTAGGGATAGGAGTAATCATTTGGAAAACATTTTTACATTGTACAAAATCAGCGGAATATACTTGTTTCTAGATTAAACAAGTGCAATAATGAGTTGGGCAAAGACAAAAAACCCTGGATTCCTAAGTGTGGTAGGGGTACAATTAGGCTGGGAATAAAACATTATCATCTTATTATTACATCATGAAATATGATGTTCCACAAGCTAACACCTAAAACTGTTAAATATTTATTTCACCAATATTCACATATGATAATGAGACCTAGAAGTTGCTTATATGAAAACTTTATATAAGAATTTCCTGAATGACTGAAAAATAAGGAAATAAATTAAAGGAATGTAGAAGGAAAAGAGAAAAGTGTGATAGATCAATTAACATGTTAGTAGACATGAAATATAATAGGAGAAAAAGGCTGAATAAGTTAACATTATAATATCTGTAAGTATTTATATATAGTAAGAAATGGATCACTGTTATGTAGCTGAAAAAGAAATTAAATACAAGAAATTCTTGTATATGTTGTATGTCTACGTATGTCTTTTTAACTATGTTTAAAATAAAAAACTTTAAAAAGTTTTTTGTCCAATAATTGATGTATCAAATTAAAAAACAGCATGTTTTTTCAGAATGAAGGACAATAATTAAATCCTACCTGGTTAAACCAGCTGTGCCATGTAATCATGTCATCATTGATGGTTAATATTTTATCTGGAGATGCTGAATGATCCACATTTCCAACTTTCATGTGAAGAAATGAATTGTTTGGGAAAGCTATTAGGTTTAGAATATCAAATCCAGTTGCTACAATCCCATTCTGATCAAAGGATACTGGTTCCCCAGCACCATTGTTAAAAGCGACATTTCTCAAAAAATAGTGGAACTAAATTGAAAGGAAAAATGCAAATAAGAGCCGAGGTGGTGCAGTGATTAGAATGCAGCACTGTAGGCTACTTCAGCTGACTGCTAGCTGCAGTTCGGCAGTTAAATCTCACCGGCTCAAGGTTGACTCAGCCTTCCATTCTTCCAAGGTGGGTAAAATGAGGAACCAGATTGTTGGGGACAATATGCTGACTCTGTAAACTGCTTAGAGAGGGCTGTAAAAGCACTATGAAGTGGTATACAAGTCTAAGTGCTACTGCTATTTGGAAAGACTAAATTACCAGTCTCCATGTTGATAATTTTCACAATAGATTTAATTGTATTGTAGGTCCTTTTCCCCACCACATTACATTGAAATTGAAGAGAAAATAGAATCAAGGATATGAATTAAAAGAATCAATAGGAAAAAAATCCAAATTATTTTTTGTTTAAAAGTGAGACAGAGCTAAGGGTTATGATTAAAGCTCCCCTGACTTTCCCTTAATATTTTGATTAACGGAAAAAATGTTTGCCACACTAGAGTGATTCTGACTTCTAGATCAGAGAATCCTAAAGACACATAGAAAAACATATATATTTTCAAGAATCATGGGAGTTGGAAAATAAGCTTACTAAAATCTCATATAATTATGAGATAAATAACAGAAGAACAGTCCCAATATAATTCAGTAGAAAATAGTTTTATAGTAATCAATACTCAAGATAGAGAAAATAAATAAAGTTCAGCATGATGAAGGAAGCATAATTTTATTTTTTAATTGGAAAATATGAGACATAAGTCAAAATTAATTTCAGGATTCCCATCAATCATAGTATTTTTCCTAATGAGAATATTACCTTACAGAAGTCTTGACCATGAATCTTCCTTCCTCCTTTACTCATCATTGTTCTGTCAGTATTTCTAGAGGAGGACAGAGCATGTAAAGCATGAGCTATAGCATGAACAGCATTGTAGATGCTGTAGCTGTGGCCAGTCATGTCCATTTCAAAAAGAGTCCCAGGAAGGCTCTCCAAATTCTCTTTACCATTGCAAATATTCTCCTGTACATCACTCATAGTTGTATCTGGGAATACACAATCAAAGGCTTCTTGCCAGAACTGTCTGATAAATATATCTTTATTTGCGCTGAATGGGTTTTGTTTCTTAGCAAATGATCTAAAGTCTGGTAGAGCAGTGGAATGCACTGTGAAGGAAAGGGCACCATCAATTATTTTGAGATCCCAAGCACGTTGAACAGGGATTAAACTGAACTCCATCTGCGTTGTCATAATCCAAACAATACCTTTTGGTTTACTTTTCACCTCTAATATATTTGGAATATGCTGAAACCATAACAAATTTCCCATTGCAAAAGATTCTCCATTATACACCACTGCATTCGCCTTATTATCCATAATAACATCATAGATTTTTCCTGCCTGATTAATCACGTGATCAATACTACTGAAATCAGTTACTTTGGGGAGTCTGTGAGTGAAGGGAACACAAACCCCATTTTTGGAAAAAAGAGGAATCACTGTTTCTACAAATTTTTCTCCCTGGTCATTGTCCATGATAAGAATCCCAATCCACGTCCAATTAAAATGCAGGAGCAGTGAGAGAATGCCTTTATGCTGAAGTTCTTCTGGGGGAACCATCTGATAAAAGGAAAGGCCTGGAGTTTTATCATTCATTATCGGCGCAGAACCATAAATGAGCTAGAGAGAAACAGGAAAAGGAGATAAGAGCAGCATCTACAGATCATTTTCAAGTGTTCAGAACAATCAACATACAGTATATTGAATTAATAAACCTTATACCAACCCTTTTAAAGAGCCTTGCCTGCCTCGTTGAGCTGAAAAATTCCCTGAAATTCTGTTCCTGGAATTTGTAGGTGTGGAAGGCATAAGTGCATGGAAGGTGTTGGAAGTCTGTTGATTGCCATTCAGTGATGCTCCAGAACTGGAAGAATTACTGATATGAATTTATCTAAAACCAAGCAGTAGATTTGTAGGTGATGGGTAATTGCTGTTTCACATTTTCAAAATATCAAAAGAGGATATATTGTTACAATCCTTGTTTGTACACATGCACAGGTATACATGGTAGTTTTGTCTACATGGAGATGGACAAAGGGATTTGTATACTGATGCAAATTTTTAAAAGTGTAAATTTCTGTAGTTGATGGTGAATCAAAACAGTTCAAGTTAGTTTTTTCCAATATCTTTTAGTATATAAGAATAAAAATCAGACTGTACGTGATTATAGATTAAAACATATAGAGTGATAAATGTATAGAGTGTTTTGGTACAACTATGAAAATAATGGTTATAACTATGATGTACAACATTATGTATTTAAAAGAGACTATATTGTATGACTATGGGAATAATTTATTTATTTATTTATTTATATGCCGCCCTTCTCCGGAGACTCAGGGCGGCTTACAGTGCGTTAAGCAATAGCCTTCATACTTTTGTATATTTATACAAAGTCAGCTTATTGCCCCCACAAACTGGGTCCTCAATTTACCTACCTTAGAAAGGATGGAAGGCTGAGTCAACCTTGAGCCTGGTGAGATTCGATCTTACTTTAATTGCAGACAGCTGGTGTTAAATTACAGTGCTTCTGTCTGTTGAGCTAAACCAGGCTCCTGGTTTATGGATATACTCAGGGAGTTTAATACTATCTATACTTAAAGAGGACTTGATACAGCCAGTACACTGTCGTTGCAAAACTGGACATGTGATTATAATATGTATAATGTATAATAAAGGAAAATGTTTAATAAAAATATTTTTTAAAAAAGAATAAAATTTTTAATTTCATAAGGAAATGTCGGAGAGAAAAACGCTCTGTCATACATTTGAAAACATTTGATGAAAACATTTATTTATTTTATTTATTTATTTATTAAATTTATATACCGCCCTATTCCTAAGGGACTCAGGGCGGTGAACAGCGAACGATAAAAATACATGTAATACAAACGTTAATAATAAAAAACCAATTAAAATATACTAAACATTCTGGTCCTAGATAATTCAAGACATCCCAGTTTAAAATAAAATCAAAAAGCAATATAAAGGGAAAGTTAGGCCAGGCCGGCCTGCTGAAACAGGAATGTTTTGAGGGCACGGCGGAAAGTGCGCAGATCCGGAATCTTCTGTATCTCTGGGGGGAGCTCGTTCCAGATGGTGGGTGCCCTCACAGAAAAGGCTCTCCCCCCTGGGGGCCGCCAGTCGACATTGTTTGGCTGACGGCACCCTGAGAAGCCCCTCTCTATGGGAGCGTACTGGGCGGTGAGAGGCTATTGGTGGCAGAAGGCGGTCTCGTAAGTACCCTGGTCCTAAGCCATGGAGCGCTCTAAAGGTGGTAACTAAGACCTTGAAGCACACCCGGAAGACCACAGGGAGCCAGTGCAGCTCGCGCAGGAGGGGAGCCACATGGGAGCACCATGCTGCTCCCATAACTACCCGCGCGGCCACATTCTGGACCAACTGGAGCCTCCGGGTGCTCTTCAAGGGGAGCCCCATGTAGAGAGCATTACAGTAGTCCAGGCGTGAAGTGACGAGGGCATGAGTGACCGTTTTTAACGAGTCCCGATCCAGAAAGGGACGCAACTGGCGAATCAGGCGAACCTGATAAAAAGACCTCCCAGCCACAGCCGTCAAGTGTTCTTCTAAAGACAGCTGTGAGTCCAAGAGGACGCCTAAGTTGCGAACCCTCTCCATGGGGGGCAATGACTCATCCCCAATAGTCAGTGATGGCACCAATTGACTATATCGGGACGTCGGAAACCACAGCCACTCGGTCTTGGATGGGTTGAGCCTGAGTCTGTTCCTCCCCATCCAGATCCATACAGCCTCCAGGCACTGGGACATCACTTTAAGGGCATCATTGGGGTGGTCCGGGGTAGAGATGTATAGCTGAGTATCATCAGCATACTGATGATACTTCACCCCAAAACCACGGATGATCTCACCCAGCGGCTTCACATAAATGTTGAACAGAAGGGGTGAGAGAACCGACCCCTGTGGCACCCCACATACAAGGGGCCTCGGGGTCGACCTCTGCCCCCCTGTCAACACAGACTGCGACCGATCAGATAGAAAGGAACAATTGTTAAGAAACAATCAAAAGTTTACTAAAACCTTCTGGCATCTCTATGAATTTATTTATTTATTTATCTCTATTATAGCCTATGAATGTATGTAATTGAAGATTGAATCTGATTGATTTGACTTGACCATGTATGACAAAATATGACAAAGCATAAGATTTATAGAACATACTCATGATTGTCAGCTGGTAGTCAAAAACATGAAATTCTTTTAATTTCACAACAGAGATAGTTTCATCTGGGAAATAGTACACATTTTATATTATGCCAAGTGTGAGAAAGCAAGAAAGCTTCTAGAAGAAATTAGTGATAAATAGACATATAGAAATAAATTCTACTTATATACCATTCAAAAACAACAATGGAACGTTAAGATAAAAAAATCAACTTTAAGAATCTCTTCTCTTCGCTTGTTCCTGTTAACCAACATCCAGTTAAGCAACACAGATGAGCAAGGACAACCAATACCAAAAACTGATAGGTCAAACTGCTATATATAAATATCCACTAACTCTCCATACATAGAAACCATACACTGATGGTTCTCTCTGCAAGATCATGTATGTGGATGCTTGAATTACTGAAATGAGGATAATGGCTCTTGCTGCACATAGAAACAGGTATCATCTGGAAATTAGAAGAAAATGCTTTTTTGAACATGTATTAAAACATGTGATTCCTGGGCCAAAAACTCTTTGGTAAGGAGCTACATTTGAAAGGATGAGTGCAAGCCATAGGATTTTTCAAATTTGAAATAAGAATAATAGTTTAGAAAATGCTTTCACACTCTAACATCTTAGCTAAATATAATAGCTTGTAGATTAAACAATGCAATCATCAGTTGAGAAAATAGAAAAAAGTCTGAATTGAATCATGGCAGATCTGTTATCCTCCCTTACATAATGGATATTTGGGATTGGGATTCATGTCCACCAACAAAAACTTTGACATTTTTCTGGATATTTTGTACTTAACTGGATACAATAATTATTTATTAATGTGCAATTAAATTTTACAGATAATGAAAACACTGATAGTTTTCCAAAACATTTGTCTTTAACCATCAAAAATCTTTCTATATGTAGAGCTTGATTCATCTTGTTGGAAGGAAATTTCTCTTTAAGTTATCACTAAAAACATTACAGGTTATACTAATCATTGAATGTTGGTCCTTTTGGTTAGAATAGATCTTAATTTATTAAAGATTAATTTCTGAGATAGATTTTGATTGAATCTTATTGAAATTTAAAGCCTTAACACTAAGACCAGGCTAAAAGGATTGTTATACTGTTTGTGAAAATTGGGGCATCGAAATAAATGAACCAACTGTTTATGGTATGATAGTACCACACACTTTGCTAAGAAAATGGCAGATACTGAATCACAAAAATCTGCATATCATTGTAGTCTAATCCATGCGATTATTTAGAAACAGAAAAGCCAAAGTTTTTTCAATAATTAGAAATAAATGAAATAATTGGGCAAGTTAAGCCCAAACCTAAGCCAAAAACAAATGTTTTTAAATCAAAATTTCCAACTCCTGAACCATTTACTTGAATATACCTAATGCTATAAAGCAAAATTACATTGTGAAAGTAGATCACTATAAGTAGAATGGCATTTGCATGAAAAGTTGTTCTACCTACCTGTGGAATCTTATAGATATCCAAGAGAGTTGCCACGTGAAGGGAGATTTCAGCATCCAGTCCTCCAATAACAGCTATGACTTTATTCTGGATGTTGCATAGGTAGTTGGGGACAAGTCTTTCAGTTGCTGATAGAAGTAGCATGGTGGCCTGATAGGTTCTTTGAGCAATGTCATAGCTATCATAAACATGGAAGCCCAGGGTGAGATTGGGTAAGATTTGTTGGTTTTCATTGATCTCCTTTACTGCATAAGCCAAAGCCAGGATGTGCTGGTAATTCTTAGGAACTCCACTACAATTAGAGTAGTATTGCACATCAGAAGGATATTCTGTTCTTATCAGTACTTTACTATAACAGCCAAACCCCATCAAGTAATTCTGTCTTTCAGATATAGTAAATTAACAGCCATCAGGATACAGAATTGATATATGTACAAGTGTACATTGATAAAGAAGTCAAGATTTATTGTTGGAACTCAGATATTTCTGCAGAGAAATTATGCAAATGATTTCAGACATAAACACAGGGAATGCCTGGAATCCACATATATAATGTCACTTTGTAAAAAAAAAAAATTCAGTCCTCTTACAGACACTTTTGTATTGTTAGTTGAAGATATTGTAATGTGTTTGAAGGAGTTATTTGGTAGAAGACTAATTGATGTATATTTTTTAAGAGGAGTATACAGAAAAATGCAAAAGAGCTTTAAATCAGCCTATCACAAGCTGTCTGTCCCACAATATTGCCCAGAAGGTGTAGCAATCACTGAGGATTATAGGTGTAGAACAGTGGTGGGTTGCTCCCGGTTCTGTCCGGTTCTTTAGAACCAGTAGTAAAAGTGGGAGGCTCTGCCCACCTGCCTGGACGTCATCATTGACAATATGCACATGCGCAGAAGCTTCTGAGCATGCACAGAAATGCACATGTTCCCATTGCAAACTGGTAGTAAAGGTAAGTAGAACCTACCCCTGGTGTGGAAGCTCACCTATTTGGAGGTATTCTGTTTTGGAAGTTTGCTTTAAACAACTGATTATATTCCATACTCTATTTTGCCTGGTTGAGAAAAGAATGCTGTTCTGAGCATCTCCTTAACTTCAACAAAGTCAATTAATTGTGATGGCAATGCTATAATCTATTATTTCAGCAAATACAAATGCAGTAAATCAGAAACAAATAACAATAACATTCCTTACATAAACTGTCCAGGCAATACTGGTGAGGGATGATTTTCAAAGGTAATGTCTTCAGAAACTGGACCAAGTTGAGATGAAATTCCACCTACCATAAGGTCTCCTGCATGATGGTACTTGTGATATGGAGGATATGGATGAAAGATGCTGCACCTATAAGTCAGGCACACCACATGGGCACGCAACACTAGCATTAAAATCAATACAATTTCCATCCCCATTACAAGGGCAAAGCTTAAAGAATCCCTCTTATTCCTAGAATAAAGCCATTAACATTTCTGCAATTTACACATCTTGACTCTTTAAGTCTGAATCTTGATCTATCTAGGATCAAACCTCGGAATCCTTAGCCATCCAGAAGCCAGCCAAGTTTCTCTTGATCTCTAAATAATATAATTATTTTAAGAGAAAGAAAGAGAAGCAACATCTTACATCAGTCTTTTTTTGTTGGTTTCGGGCACTGAATTTCCATGGGATTTTGATATATAGTAATTTAGATGCATAAACAAGAAGGTAATTTTTAAGTCAGTCCCTTAGGGAAGACCTGAAGAAATCATGCTTTTTAGAGTTCAACTATTGTTATTCACTTGAATTCTTAAAGGAACTAGGACATTTGGCAAGGATGAGTGATGAGGAATATTTGAGTGATTTTATAACTCAGCCTTTAAGCCATTAAAATAAATAAATAAAAAATAAATAAACCCCCACCTACTTCAATGTTTCTTTTCTTTTTAAATGAGAAATAATTCATCTATTGTTTCTTTTAAAATATCAGGTATCTGCATTAACATAAATGCAATATATATATATATATATACAGGTATTCTCCAAATATAATAGTTCATTTAATGACCATTCAAAGATACAACGGTACTGAAACATGTGACAATTTTTCACACTTATGATCGTTGCAGCATCCCCATGGTCATGTGATCAAAATTCTTGGCAATATACTCACATTTATGATGGTTGCAGTGTCCTGGAATCATATGATCACCTCTGGCAATCTTATGACTAACAAAATTAATGGGGAAGCCAGATTCACTTAGCAACAGTGAACAAATGCAACATTTCACTTAACAACTATGGCAAGAAAGATTGTAAAATGGAACAAAATTCATTTAACAACTCTCTTGCTTAGCCAAATAAATTTTGGGCTCCTTGTAGTCATAAATCGAGGACTACTTATATAGAAAAAAAAAATTAAAAAACATACTCAAAGATATCTATTAGCATTTAAATAAAAAGTCAGGTACTTCACTTGTGAAAATTTATCATATATAAGAAGTATACCAGATTATAATTTATTGATATTAAAATAAATCATAAAATCCAACCATGTTTGATAAAAGTGTGGTTCCTGTTTATATAAATCTTCAATTCCTTAACTTTCTCTGTAATTTTTTCCCCCAATGTGGCAATTGAGGAGGCTTTGTATTATCTAAAGTTTTCCAGTGTTGCACAATTATTATTTTGGCTTCTATAATTAAATAAATAATCATTTTTTTTATTTTTAAGCTTAAGAAAGATAGTAAAAGCCATATCTCTATAGTGTTTTCAAGTATTTATAGGAATGTGCATACATAGCATTAATAAGCCTTATATGAATCCTGTAATGCACATACAGTAAGCAGAAACAAAAGAGCAGACTAAGATAAGCATTGGTCAGGAGTTTTGTTACACCCTTAGATTCCTTAACCTTAAACAAGATTAGTAAGATGTTTTTTTCCTTTACGGACAAAGCTAATTAAAATTATGCTTGAGATGTTAATTCATTTTTCCATGTCTTTTATTTCATAAAACTACATAAAACCCATGAGATAATGCTGCTTTGAACAGAATCTTTGAATTTAATCTGAGAAATCAGAAGTGGGATGGAATTGTGTTCCTTTCAAAATATCTTGAAGATTTGAAAGAATTGCAGATTCAGTGGAATTTATACCTTTGAAGAGAATGAAATGTGTTTGCAATTTTCCTGCATGCATCAGAGACCAGAGAGAAATGTGGCTTTGATGCTTGTAGCTTACTCGTCTGCTGGAGTCTATTTAGGCAGGTTTATTTCAAAGAGCTGTCTATTTTTCTCTTTCTTATCTGATAATTTCACTTTTGACATTCTCATAACAGTCTCGTCTTTTTTTAAACCACGTATCTTTGTTCACAGTTTTTTTCAATTGTCCTTTTCTTTTCTGCTCTCCTATTACTAGTAAAATCCTAATTTGATTGTGTTATTGTCTCTTAATGTTTTGTTTTAGCCTAGATAAATCTTCATTATTTTAGTATAGCAAGCTGTGTGGATTAAATCATGTATTTTAATCCAATTCACAGAAATAAAGAGTTTATAATGGAACTAGCAATTTTATTAAAAAAGAGAACTATAACTGATCTCTTCCATTAACTGGTATCATAAAAATTATCTCTATGTGTGTGTGTGTGTGTGTATGTGTGTGTGTACATACATACATACATGTATGTATGTATGTATGTATGTATGTATGTATGCATGTATATGGATATATATGTATATATACTGCCAAAGAAGTAAAGGGAGACTAGTATAGATCTATTTCAAGCTATTTAGCTCTCATCAGGTAGCTATACTCTTCTGAGATTTAAACCTGGGCTTACTTGCATATTAGGCAGATGTATTAACCTCTAAACCACTGGTTCTCCTTGCTTTGTCAGTTTGTACCAGGGAAGATTAAATTTTATTTATTTCTTTGTCAGTGAATATAAATTTAACACAAAATAGTTTGTCGTGAAAGTGACTGCCTGAGGGCTCCTGGATTGGGGCTGAAAGGCAAAAAGGAAGCAGTATGCTCCTTCCCAAATTTGGGTAGACCAGGTTGCTTCAATAGAACACCCATTTAATCTTCCCTGATACAAACTGACAAAGCAAGGACAACCTGTGGCTTAGAGGTTAATACATCTACCTAATAAGCAAGGAAGCCCATGTTTGAATCCCAGAAGGGTATGGGCTAGCTGATGAGAGCTAAGTAGCTTGAAATAAATCTATACTAGTCTCCCTTTATTTCTTTGTCAGTAAATATAAATTTAACACAAAATAGTTTGTTGTGAAAGTGACTGTTTGAGGGCTCCTGGATTGGAGATGAAAGGCAAAAAGGAAGCAGTATGCTCCTTCCCATATTTGGATAGACCAGGTTGTTTCGATAGAAAACCTGTGTATCTATAGGTATAGATATATAGATATAATTTAATTTGCTAAAAAAAATGAGGTTTATGTCTTTTTAAAGATATAAATTCCATTAGCCTCTACTAAAGGGATATAGTAAAGGAATATACAATCCCAAAATGATATTTTGAGTAACTTCTAGAACTACAGAAATATATTCCTTATGCAGATCCAAGGCTATATTTGGGCACAGTTAGAATGCAGTACAAAATCAAAGGTGAAGGAAGAAATTGAAAGTAGTGTTTTGCCTGGGTGTTGATAGATAATTGAAGGATAATCCAATCTGCAGAATCTTACAAATGTCCAAAATAGTTGCTACATGAAAAGAGATTTTAGAATCTAGTTCACCAACATCAGCTACTATGTAATTGTGCATATTGCATTAGTAGTTGGAAATCAATTTCTTCATTGATGATAAAAGTAACACGGTGGCTTGATAAGTTCTCTGGGCATTGTCAAAACTGTGATAGATGTGGAAATCCAAGGTAAGAATTTTGGGTAATGTTTTTGGGTTTTCGTTTATCTCCTTTACTGCCAAAGTGAAGATGTTCTTGTATTTCTTAGATACTAGATGACAACAAAAGCGACATTCTGTACTAAACAATATTCTACATTTAACTGCTCTATTATCAGGAATAATACAAGGAAGTAAATTCAGCAGGCTAGCTATACTAGATATGCCCATATTTCTTTGAATTGACAGACAATCTTATAGTACATCTGACATGCATACATGTCCATGTGACAATGGGATGTGCAACCATGCAAGCTGGTTGCCAAATTCCTAAAATGAAATCACATGACTGTAGGAACTTCAAGGAGAGGTTATAGGTAGCTTTTTTGAAGTCCGTAGTAAATTTGAATGGTCATTAAGTGAGGTCTAGCTCACTTAGTACCATGTTGGCCCCAGAATGGAGAATAAAAAGTTCCAGTTTAGTTACACTACAGGATATTTCTATTGGTTTTCTTTTTAGGTTTATCCTTTCATACCAATAGCTTTCTAGTTGGCTTATGATTACTCAATTATGATTAATTCTAAACAAGTGCCCTACTGCCCTAACCATGACTGTTATATTTCAGTGTCATTTGTTTCCTTCTACCTAATAGGAAGTGAAGCAGTCTAAAAACTAAATGTGCTTTGGGAAAAGAGTCTGAAAAAAAAAAAAGACCAGTTTCAAGAAATGATCAGAAGAGATGAGATGCATGAAGGTTCATTTCATTTTGTCAAAATCTGATAATATTCTACATTGCGTACAGAGAAAGAAGACTAAATTAAAAACATTGAGAAAAGAGGGAAAGGCTTATTTTTGTCTTACTAATTGTTTTCTGATGTTTAGATCAGACCTGAATACAATGATATAACATTTGGGGGAGAAGATGCAACCCAAAACCCCAGCACCAGAGGCTAAGATGGAAAAGATCTCCACAGCCACCATGTATTTCCCCTTGGAACTCAGGTATGCTGGGATAAAGGACAACCAAACACTGCAAAAGACTAACATGCTGAAGGTGATGAACTTCGCTTCATTGAAATTGTCAGGCAATTTCCTGGCAAGAAAAGCTGTAGTGAAGCTGATGAGAGCCAAGAAACCCATATAGCCAAGGACACAATAAAACATGGTCACAGAGCCTTCATTACACTGAAGAATAATTTCTTCAGTCACTGAGAACATATCAACATCTGGGAATGGAGGAGCCATTGCCAACCACAAAATACATATACTTGCTTGGATCAGAGAACAAGAAGCAACAACGCTATTGGTTAACTTTTTCCCCACCCACTTCCTCATTCTGGATCCTGGTTTGGTGGCCATAAAAGCCATAATAACCATGATAGTTTTTGCCAAGACAGAAGAAACAGCCACTGAGAAGATGATGGCAAAAGTTGTCTGTCGGAGAAGGCACACCACTTTTCCTGGTTTACCAATGAATAGCAATGTTGAAATGAAGCAGAGCAGGAGGGAGATGAGGAGTGTATAGGTCAGGCTCTGGTTGTTGGCTCTGACAATGGGAGTGTTGTGGTTCCTCATAAATGTTCCTAATATAAGAATTGTAGTTAAAGAAAAGGTAAATGCAAGAGATGCTAAACTTATCCCTAGAGGTTCTTCATAAGACAAGAAACTTATAACCTTGGGAATACAGAAATCCTTTTTCTTGTTCGGATAGTATTTGTCTTGGCATCTGAAACATTCATTTTTGTCTGAAATAGAAGAAGTTGTATAACATTAGTATTTCATGCATATCATAAATCTGACCAATATATTATCATATTATTTCCTATACTATTAGAAAGCTACTTTGATTAATGAATATATAGGAAGGTCTATATACTCAGTATAGCCTTCTAACTTTTGCAGATTGTATTTAATATTAAGATTAGAAGCTTGATATACTGTATATGAGATACAAAAGGTGTGATAAAGTTAAACGCTTTAGTAAATTTAATCATTTTGTCACTTTAAAACTATTTGGAATTTTGAAGTTACAACAGTGCCCCCAAAAGGGAGAACTTATGATTCAGTTTCAAAGTTGCATCTGCTACAGCACCCCTGTAATTATTCATCTTTATGACTGAAGTATGTCTCCCTGACTATTTCGCTCTTCATCCTGCCCTGCTAGATCCCTGCTGGTGCTGGGCTTGCTTTGTCACACCACTGGGTTTCACACACTTTTCTCCACCTTGGTCATCAATCACTCAGTTACCTTTTGAAAATTTCCCGTGTGCAAGAGACAAGGGTATGGAAAGAGGACAGGCTGTTTTGTTGTTGGACCACACAGCACAATCTCACATGTGACCATCTTTTTTTCTGAGTACAGCCGCAAATTGCTTCAACCCAGAAACCCATTGCAACATGGCAATGAAGCAGTTTGTGACTGTGTAGCATGACTGCAGAAGCTTGGAAAATGACAGCTGTTTATGGGACTAAAGCAATGGAGCAGTTTGTTTTACTTACTAACACTAGTATTAACGTCACCAGCATTAGTAAGGAAAAACAAACCATTCTGTGTTTGCTTTCTCTTGTTAATGCTAACATTAGCATCCCTGTATTAACTTGTGCCTGTATTAGGCTCCCCATGGTCTCCCCCACTCTTGAAACTCCCTGCCATGTTCCACTTAATGATCCATACTAGTGGTGGATTGCTCCCAGTCCTTGCAAACCAATAGGAAAAGTAGCGAGAGGCTCTGCCCACCCACCCGGATATCATCATGGATGATCTGCGTATGTGCAGAAGCTTCTGTGCATGCATAGAAGCGCATAAACATGCATGAGCAAAGTGAGAAAGCGGCCACGCTCCTGTTGTGAGCTGGTAGTACAGGTAAGTAGAATCCACCCCTGATCCATACATGTGTTTAACAATTGTATTGGGGACAGCAGGGATGGGGGTTGTTAATTGAGGTAGTTCACTTAATGGCCATCTCAATTACCTATATAATGGGCAAGCTCCATTTTAGTCATAACTCAAGGCCTATATATATTATACAGTATATATCTATTTTCCCACCAAGATTGGAAGGCAAGATATGTTGCAGGTCCCATCTATTAAGGAAGTACACCGTACCATATAAATCTGTTTAATAAATGGATTAATAAAATATTTCTTACCATGTTAAAAGATCTCATCATATTATTTTACATTTCTAAAAACTTCTATTTACTTATGTTTTGCAACTTTATAATTTTGAGATTCAGATTTAATATAGAACAAGTGAATCATAATGCAAAATGAACCTATATGAAAGAATGTTATAGTAGTTCCCAATGGATAGCTTCATATGTAAATGATGACTTCATTTGACTATTTATCAGGAAGCTCTTTTATTAAATAAACTATGAATTAACTTTTTCAGGATTTTTTTAAGGATGAAATGTGAATTAAAAGCTGAATAAAATCAGTAATTATGTTCTGATCTTGTCATTTTGCAATCTGCTTGTAATCTGTTTCCTAGATGCCCTTTTGATCTGAGGGATCTTCTGTACCCTTCAAAATTACTTCAGTGATGTTAAAGACTCCAGATGAGAAAAACTTGGAGAAAACTGATCAAAAAAGTGTTTGAGATAAGTTAGCAATAATATTTCATAGATGCTTTGATGGCGCAGTGGTTAGAGTGCAGTACTGCAGGCTACTTCTGCTGACACCGGCTGCCAGCAGTTCGGCAGATAGAATCTCACCAGACTCAAGGTTGACTCAGCCTTCCATCCTTCTGAGGTGGGTAAAATGAGGATTCAGATTTTTGGGGGCAATATGCTGACTCTGTAAACCCCTTAGAGAGGGAGGTAAAGCACTATGAAGCGGTAAATAAGTCTAAGTGCTATTGCTATTGTTAGATCTATAAAAAAAGTTGGCAACTTCTACCCATTGATCTACAGTATGTACATACATACATACAAAATTAGGTAATCTTTGTTGTTAATGCATTGAGACTGCTCAACATTCTGGTAAGTAGAAGTTTTTAATCCTCGCATTTAAAAATGCTTTTTTAAAAAAACTCTACTTCTTACAATACATTATTCTTTTTATTGCCTGAATTTATTTTGAACAAGCAAGGAGATGTTAACCATTCTCAGTTGAAATTCTCCCTTCTGGGCAGGGAATGCAGTCATAGCAGCAAAATGGCTCTCCTTCCTTCACTTTTTTGCTGGAACCAGGATAGCAACTATCACTGCAAACAGAGATGGGTATCACCTGAAATTAAAGAGGAATGTGTTACATTATAGAATGATAAAAGAAAGGCTTTAATTTGATGCCTATTTAAGTTCAAAGGGCCTGCTCAAAATGGCTTACTTGATATGCTAGAAATTGTTGCTACTGATGGATAAATTGCTATTATCTCAGTAGCCATATCACTTTTGCATATCTTCACTCTACACACTAAGGTGAAAAGTTTCCTTGAAATTGTAACTTGTTTCTCCCAAATTTTCACTTCTAAATGTATTTTCACCTACAATTAAGTATGACTTTCTTTAAAAATATATAGATTTTTGTTCCCTTGGAAATGCAAGTTTGAATAACTGCAATCCATAAGAAATAGAGAAGCTTCTCAGCTTTTACATACATATATCCATCTGGGGGAAATTTATAGAATAATCTATGACATGGTGACTCAGTGGCTAAGACACTGAGCTTGTCGATCAAAAGATCAAAAGTTCAGCAGTTCAAATCCCTAGTGCTATGTAATGGGGTGAGCTCCCGTTACTTGTCCCAGCTTCTGCCAACATAGCAGTTCGAAAGCACATAAAAAAAAATGCAAGTAGAAAAAATAGGGACCACCTTTGGTGGGAAGGTAACAGCGTTCCATGCACCTTTGGCATTTAGTCATGCCAGCCACATGACCATGGAGATGTCTTCGGACAGCTCTGGCACTTCAACTTTGAAACAGAAATGAGCACCGCCCCCTAGAGTCGGGAACAACTAGCACATATGTGCTAGGGGAACCTTTACCTTTATAGAATCATAGAATTGAAAGAGGTAATGTAAACCGTCAGCAAAAACTCATGTTTTAAGAATTAGCAGCAAGATCAGGGGTGAAATGCTCCTGGTTCAGACCGGATCACCTGATCTGGTAGCGATGGCGGCAGGTGGTTCGGAGAACCAGTAGCAAAAATCCCTGCCCCCCCAAGTCCAGCTGAGCCGCACGATCATCAGAGGCTTTTTTTTTTTACTTTTAAAAGCATTTTTCCTACAACCTCTTCCGAAGAAAAATGCCTTTAAAAGTAAAAAAAAAAAAAAGCCTCTGGTGATCCCACGGCTCAGCTGGAATCATCAGAGGCTTTTCAAAGCATTTTTTTCTGCAACCTCTTGGCCGATGAGATGGTAAAAAAAAATGCTTTGAAAAGTTTCTGGCAACTCCCAGCTCAGCTGCCTGATTGATAGAGAGGTATTTTTTAAAATGTCTCTCTGACGATCCCAGCTGAGTTGCCTGATCGGCAGAGGCTTTTCAAAGCATTAGAAAAAATGCTTTGAAAAGTAAAAAAAAAAAAGTTGCCCACCCCTACCCAGTCACATTAACCACCCCAAGCCACGCCCACAGAACTGGTAGTAGCAAATTTTACATTTCACCCCTGAGCAAGATGCTTACTTGACTTGTTCAAAATACCTCTCTCAACAAGTATGTCTATTTCTGACCCTTATCAATTTGCATATACAAATTCAAAATACCATTCTCTTTTCTTTCTCTGGATTTCAAAGAACCCTGTTAAATTATATGCATCTGTTCATGGAAACTAGGGAAATTGTATTCAACTACAGAAATATGTACCCTTGTATAATTTGATATTCTACATTTCCTTTTAAATTGGGATTTTAATTCATTATGAATATTAATAAAAGAAGACAATGGCCACTGGATGGAACAAATAAATTTATGCCAAAACTTCTCACTAGAAATTAAATCAAATATGCTTTTTAGGTTAAGCAATGCAGCACATTGCTTTCTAAGTTTTATAGCATAATTTTCTAACCAGTGCTGTTGCATTAATATTTGCAGTATGGATGACATGTCACTTTAAACATTAGCCTCAAGATTTCTTCTAGAAATGTCCCATTCATCAACTTAAAATTTTAGCATAAACGTTAGTTACACTTTTTAGTAAATTTAAAGAGATGTAGTTTACAGGAATATCTGATTTATAAGAGAACTATCAATGCTATAACTCTATACTTTGGTCCAATGGTTAATATTATCAATTGCAAAATGTCTACCCTGGCAATTAGGGTAGACATTTGTAATTTAGAGGGGCAGTTATTATATAAATTCATATACTGAAATTAATTCACCTATTTTTTCAAAAGATTGTTTAACATGAGGAATTTCCATATCATAATAGAGACACATAATTCAAAATCATGATAATTAGATCTGATTATTAGGCTGATAATTAGATCCTACCTGATTAAACCAACTATGCCATGTAATGATGTCTTCATTAATGGTTAAAAGTTCATCTGGAGAAGCTAAGTGATTCACCTTCCCAACTTCCACACGAAAAAATGATTTGTTTGGGAAAGCAATCCAGTTGATGATATCAAATCCAGCTGCTACTATTCCATTCTGATCAAAAGAAACCAAATCTCCAGCACTGTTGTTAAAAGAAACACTTCTCAGAAAATAATGGAGCTAAAGCAAAAAAATTAAACACCAATTTTGAGAATATTTTCCTCATCATGATGGTGGCAGATAACCATTCTAGGGTTTTCTCTCTCTCTCTCTTGAGTGGAAATCATTTATAAGGCTCAGTGGGAGAAGCCAGATTGGTATGCATTAGGGAAGAAACAAAATTACACTAGTCCCCTAAATTTACCACAAAATTTGAATAATAGAACTATTAGAAAAATAATCTGATTCTATTACACCAAAAATTATTTAAATTCTAGAGTCAAACATATGTTTATTACAATCATATTAATAGATGTGTCATTAAAATCCTAAACATGGAAAAGTGCCCAGCACAAATCAGTGTACAGTACTGCATTTATATAGTATGCTCAATAATAATTAAAAGGAATTCTGATAAAAATATGAGCTTTTGTTACATTGCTAAGAGATGGGAAAACTGCTGAAATTCAGACCTAGTTTTGCCATCACACTTATGTACATGATGCTCCATTAGATGAGGATGTTGGTGCCATTACCTGCCAGAAGCCTTGATTATGTATCTTTCCTCCTTCTCCCTCTGCCGTAGTTTTGTGTTTATGTTTAAAAGAGGACAAAGCATGTAAAGCATTAGCTATAGCATAAAGAGCATTGTAACTGCTGTAACTGTGACCAGTCATTTTCATTTCAAAAAGAGATCCAGGAAGGCTCTTCAGATCCTCTGTTCCATTGCAAATATTGTCAGACACATCGCTCATTGCCATATTAGGAAAAACACAGTTGAAAGCTTCTTGCCAGAATAGACTGATAAACCCATCTTCTTTTGCACTGAAGGGATTTTTTTTCTGAATAAATGATTTGAATTCTGGTAGATCGGCAGAGTGCATTGACAAGGAGAGGGCACCATGGATTATATCTGTATCCCAATGGAGTTGAAAAGCTGATGAAGTGAATTCCATCTGGGCTGTCATTATCCACACAATACCTTTTGGTTTACTTCTCACTGATTCCAGCTTTGGCATATACTGCAACCATCTCAAGAACATCATGGAGAAAGATTCTCCATAAATTACAACTGCATTAGCTTTACTACTCATGATACTTTCATATACTTTTACTCCCTGCTGAATCATACCTTCAAGTTTAGTAATATCACTAAATTTTGGGATTCTTTCAATAAAAGAAAAACAAATCTCCTTTTTTGAAAGAAGTGGAATCATAGTTTGTGCCATTTTTTCTCCATGATCATTGTCCATGATAAGAAACCCTATCCAGGTCCATCTGAAATGCAGGAGCAATGAGACAATTCCTGCATATTGAAGGGGTTCTGGGGGAACCATCTGGTAGAAAGAAAGGCCTGGAGTTTTATCATTCATGAGGGGAGAGAATCCATAAATCAGCTAAAGAGAAGTGGGTAAAAAATAATGGACATATGTATATAATACTTTCAATTATTCTCTCAATCTGCATAGATTAAATTAACAAACCTCATACTATTTGTTTATTGAATATATGATCACTGTTATATATGATGTTCATTCATATATAACAGCTTTCAACATTGCTACTTGAAATTATGTTTGTGGTTTTACTAAATTTCTTATATACTCAATTTCTACATAAATGCTATGGATGGTCATTGGAACCATTTCTTTAAACTGAGTTGAATCACTCAAGTGATTTAATGTATAAAATCCAGTTATGTTCCCTTGGAGTAATTTGAAGAGATTCCAAATATGGGTTTTCTCTCTCTGTCTCTGTCTCTGTCTCTGTCTCTGTCTCTGTCTCTGTCTGTCAGTCTCTCTCTCTCTCTCCCCCTCCCTCCCTCCCTCCCTCCCTCCCTCTCTTTCTCTTTCTTAGATTTCCTGACTTTGTTGCAACTTAAACATTTTATAGATTAAAAGTAAAGGTTCCCCTCACACATATGTCCTAGTCGTTCCTGACTCTACGGGGTGGTGCTCATCTCCATTTCAAAGCCAAAGTGCCAACGCTGTCCGAAGACGTCTCCGTGGTCATGTGGCCAGCATGACTAAATGCCAAAGGCGCACAGAACGCTGTTACCTTCCCACCAAAGGTGGTCCTTATTTTTCTACTTGAATTTTTACGTGCTTTCAAACTGCTAGGTTGGCAGAAGCTGGGACAAGTAATGGAGCTCCCATTACCCTGTTTTGAAGCACTAGGGATTCGAACTGCTGAACTGTCTTAGCCACTGAGCCACCGCATCCCTTTTATAGATTAGAACACTTGAATAAGTAATTCTCCACTATATATAATTTACTGTTTTTTGTAAATGTATCTATCTTCCATTATCTGTTGACTATCCCCTAACCCTGTTATTTGACACAAATAACCTATTACACCTTGTGCTTCTTTTCTGAAAATTAAAAATCAAAGCACAAAAAATAAAAGTAAGTCCAGTGGTGTAATCTCCTGTCCGTGCCCTGTAGAGGAACTCCCTGTAGAGAATTCAGTCTTTTCTCCCTTTTTGGAAGATAACAAATGTCACAAGTGAAAATAAAATAATACTTCATTAAAAAAAGTTAAAATCTTAACTCTCTTCTTAATTATAATATGCACACATATAACATTAAAAATACAGTACAGTTCAGATGATGAGACAGATAAAAGGAATTAGACAAAAAAAAAAGACGCAGACATTACAAATGTCTGTTTCATTAAAAGATATTGGAATAGTTTTAAAAATATTCTTATAGGACTTCATGAACAAGTCTCAGGTTTGAATAAAAAGTTGAAATTAAACAAATAATTTAAACTTCCCCTAAATGTCCATTTCTGTAATTCCTTTCCAAGAATTTCCTATTTTTAGAGGGTGATGGTGGTGGATGATGGCTGGGTAGGAAGGATTCCAAATAATATTCAGAAGCCCAATTCTTCCCGAAACTCAGTTCATAGCTATACATATTTCCCAATAGTATAAGAGATGTAACATATCTCTTATTCATGTTGCAAATTTAATTTATAATAGCAATCAGTAAATCTCTGAATTTTGAATTGAATTGAATCTGGCAGATTTATGCTGTAGTACTAATTAATATTAGCTCTTTATTTTATTCAGAAACTTTATTTTATTCAGAAATCTTAATTAAAGCAGACCTACAAAATGTGTGACTGAATCTGTCCTGAATTCAACAGGGCTATATATTATTTATTTATCAGATTTCCAATCAATAGATTTGCCCTGATAAGATGGTAATTATGTTCAGACTTAAACACAGAATACAATTGTCAAATCAATACATTATCTTTGATGCAACAATTCAGTTTTCTTCTTTAATTAATTAGAAATAAAATGAAACAGTTTTATTATAACACATACAATATATAAACAAACAAAAAAAAGTTATCCAGTACCTGAAAGTACATAACACTATTCCTTCAAAGGTATAAATTCCACTTACATAATGCACTATAAATGGATGGAGGATTGAAACTAAATAGTGATATTTACAAGAATGTGACTCCTGGAATTGCAGGGATAAATTTCTTTTTCCATTCAGGACTTTGTATTCCTGAGTGGAATACAATATTCAAAATATTTTTTAAAAAATAAAAATTGTATTAATTTAGCATACCAGATAGATAAATGTATCTTACCTGTGGTTTCTTATAGGTATCTAAAATAGTTGCCACATGAAGAGAAATTTGTGCATCCAATCCTCCAATAACAGCTACTACATGATTCTGGATGTTACATACATAGTTGGGGACCAATTCCTCCATTGATGATAGAAGTCGCAAGGTGGCTTGGTAAGTTTTCTGGGCGTTATCATAACTATCATAGATGCAGACACCTAAGGTGAGATTGGGTAAGATCTGTGGGTTTTCATTGATCACCTTCACTGCAAATGCCATAGCCAGGATGTGCTGGTAATTCTTAGGAATTAAGCTACAATGAGAGTTGCATTCCATATCAGAAGGCCATTCCGCATTGAACAGCTTTTGTGTTTTAATAGGAATTCAGCAGGCTGATTGTATCATTTCTCTCACATTGCAAACTCATAGCCACCTGCATGTGCTATTAACATGCATGGAGATGATTTGCATTTTTGCAAAAACTTTGCATACTATATTTGTATTTTTTAAAGAATTAAAATATGTTTATGTCAATTCTTTCACTATGCACATTAGGGAAGAAATATGTAAATATTAGGTACTTCAAGAGTTTTTTTTTTTTTTAAGTCATGATATCCAATTTCAAGCTATATTGGAAATAACCTTAGAATTCTGTATGGTATTTTCATATACATTGGTCCAAATAATTTTTACTTGCAAATATTTGCAAATTTGCCCAATATACATAATTTTGAAAAGAATATGCAACTTCACATTCATGTTTACCTTAGTGTTCAGATAAATACAGATATCCCTAATACAAATGTCTTGATTATTCTTGATTTACAAAATGATAGAGATGAGATTATATATGGTGAATTTTGTAAAATAATAGATTTGTAATACTGTAGAATTGAAAGCAATTTTAAAAATTGTGACTTAGATAAAAGTGATACAGATAAAACAGTGGCTATCTTTAACATTTTAAGGATGAAGCAAATAAATTTATTGATAATTCTTTGAAAGAACAGGGATGTTACAATGTTTCAGTGTAATAAAGGAATTATCACAAAATCTGCAAAATAAAAGCATAACAGACCAAACATGATAAAGAGTAAGGAAGGTTGTTAAGGATGAAACTGGTTTAATGAAGAGATTTTGCAGGAAAAAAAAATACTGAAAAGAAGATAGTGAAAGCAAAATAGAAAGAAGTTAGTCTTGAAACCAGCTTTGTCCAGTCTGGGTCCCTGCAGGAATGGGTTCAATTCCCAGGGTTTCTCAGCTGGTTAGATATTTCAAAGAATTATGACAGTCAAAGGCTACATTTTGGAGTGGGGGGGGGAATTTTGAGGAATGCTGCTTTAAAATTCTGAATATCTTAACGTAATGTATTCTTCCTCAGATGATCTTTCCTCAGTATCTTACTATCACCCAAGTATTGAGATGATATTGCTCATTTTGCTTAGACAAGTGACCAAAATGATTTAAAAATGAAACAATTATCCAGTTTCTTACACAAACTCTCCTGGTAATACTGGTGAAGGGGTTTCAGTGAAGACAACTTCTTTTGGTAGGATGCCAGTCTGAGAAGCAATGCCACCAACAATGATATCTCCTAGTTTTTGGTATTTATGATATGAAGAATATGGATGGGTGATGCTGCATCTACGAGACTTGCAGACTATGTGAGGAAGCAGTACTAGCAGCAAGAGCAATAAAATGATATCCATGCTCCGGATATCAAAGAACTCTTTTACATCTATGGCACATCTATTAGCATTTCTGCGATTAATAGTATCTGGTCTTGAATGGTGGTTGCTAAAGTCTGAATCTTGGACTTTGGAAATGGTATTGGAAAATAACACTCTTCATCAGTCTTCATTTTAAGGTTCACTGAAATCCACAGGGATTTGAAAATCAGCAGAATTAAAAACAGTCATTAAGATAGACAAACAGGAATTTAAGTTATCAAATTAGTTTGATTCCTTAGGGAACTGCTGGAGAAGTAATGTTATCCTGAGTTGAAAAGTTTTTCCTCAGATAGAAAGTGACATTCTAAGTGGGCTTAAATTTGTAACGATGAAATTATTGGTGAATGAGGGCCACATTCATAATTTGGGAGTAGTTTGATGGTGACAATGAGGGAATCATGCAAATGATGGTTGGGATTGCATGGACTAACCATTCTCAAAACATTTAGTGGGGTCAGACATAAACATAACATGAATGAAAGCTAAAACTCTCACTGACATGACATTAACTGTGTGAAATGGGGTATCATAGTGCAACAATTTTTGAACCAAGATACCTCAAATGGCTAACTTACAGAATGTGTCCAAATTCTATGCTCATGACTCCCAAGGGAATGAAATTTGGGGACGCTGTAGTAAATACATTGCTACTGGCTGCTGCTGAGTTGCTGCCACAATTATGTGATTTTTATTTTCAATGTTCCATGCCAGTTTCTCAGCCAGTCTCACAATCCTTCACTTCCTCCTCCACTCAGTAACAGCCACTTATCTGTCTGCGGAAAAGAAGGGGGAAGGAAGGAAGGAAGGAAGGAAGGAAGGAAGGAAGGAAGGAAGGAAGGAAGGAA